AGCAAGTCACGGTGGCCAAATCTTCGACAGAAGCTGAGTACCGCTCACTCTCAGCTGCGGCATCCGATGTACTCTGGCTTCGCCGCTTAGCTTGCGAACTTCAGCTGCCTCAACCCAATCCCACCGTTATATGGAGTTCTATACTTTAGGGTTCTCGAATTTGTACTGGATTTTAATTTCTTGGTTGTTCATGGCTTTCTGTTCCTTTTTTGGCAGGTTTTTGTTCATTTCAGTGCTTCATGGTGCGTTCCATCTCTTGCCATGAACTCCTATGTGGAAGAGCTGGCCATGAATTATCAGGATATACTTTTTCTGCTTGTAGATGTGGATGAAGTCAAGGTAATTGAACTAAAACCTTTCCCCCCTCTTACTTATACTAACTGCTTTAAAAGTATTTATTTTTAATTTAGGTGATTTGGGGCAAATTTTGTTAATTGAAGTGACTGAAGCGTGAACTGAACTTAGACTTTTTTTTTTTTGGTTCATCATGGAAGTATTGCACTTCTCTTCTGGACCAAGATTCTTTTTTTTTTTTAGTCATGTCTTATGGTTTCTATTTTATTTGAAACTTTTCGTTAAAGTTATCTCTGTAAAATATATATTTTCTTGGTTTGAATTGAAGCAAAATAAGTTTATAGAATGAATTTAGCATGAATTGAGAGATCCAAGAACTTCTGGAGCAGCGACAAAACTACATAAATTGAGAGATCCAAGAACTGTTGGAGCAGTGGTTAAGTTTCAATGGGCCGATGAGGTTCACCAATAATTTAGGAGGGTAAAAATTTTCAATCATATATAGCTGCATAGGATTTTTTTTTCTCAGATCTTAGGGGGATTAGAGCCACTCTGTTCCCATGGTTTCATCTCTATTCCAGAGTCATTCATAATTCTAATACAGAGCAATGTGGCTTAGGTTGTGCTCAATTGCACAATTGGATGACAAAGCCTTTTCCTTTTGGTTTTGAGAGATAAGTTGATTTTCAAGGGAGTTGAGCTCGGTCTTAGATGCTTAAATAATTTCGCATATGTTAATCTTTTGTTCTTTTGGACGGCACTGTTGCATCTCCAAAGGTACTACTGTCAAGAGAATTTAGGTCATTTTGACTCAACTCCTCTTGTTTCTTTCCTTACAGGAGAGGCCTTTCTGTGAGTGACTCTTAGGGGCTGTTTGGTAGTAGGATTTAGGCCGGATTTGAGGTGGGTTTGAGCGAAATCCAGCCAAATGACCTAAAATGCAAAACCAAATCTCACGGCAAATGAAAGCTGTTGTAGACGGAAGATTCCGCCTTTTCATGCTAAATACTAAATTTCCGAAATCCTGTTTTTTGTCGGATTTATTAAATCCATTAGTTGGAGAGGAAGAGTCTGCTTATTAAATCCGCTCTATAGCCAAACAGTCACACGGGATTAATAGGATTTATCATGAATGTTATCAAATAGTTTTCAGGATTTAGGCCCCCCATGATTCCGAAATCCGGATTTAGAGAATTTACGAAATCTTACTTAAATCAAATCCTGAGTGCTACCAAATAGCCCCTCAAGGAAAGGATCATGTTGTAGGGAGCAGACGGATTAGCATCCTCCCTCTTTCTATCATCAACCTTCCTCCTTGCTTGAGGCTTGATTGTGAGGTTATGAGGAGGGAAGGGGTTTGAGGCTAGCTCCCAACCTTAAATTTTTTTTAAAGGTTATCTCCCTTTGGTTTATTTGCTTGAGAAACATACACGGGAAGATAAATCAAGTCTTTCCCTGAGACTTCAAATAACTAGCTCAAAATCACTTTTTATTATATTTTGAAAGCTGTTGTGGATATTATAATTTTTTTTTCCTTTTGAACAAGTCAGATAGCAACATATTTAGCACCATCACACTAATAGATTTGATTTTAAGAGCTGTCTTAGCACGAGAATTTCTAAAAAGTAGCCAAATGAGACTGTAACTGTTTTCTGAAAAGCCAAGTTACAAAAAATCATCCCAAACAGACCCTTAAGCTTTCATCACTATATTAAAATAGATTTAGTGGTATTCTACTTCACATATTTATGAAATGTTTTTAGAATTCAAGGATCTTTTGTCTTCATGTGTGTTTCATTGATCCTTTTGCTTTCCCACTCGATGCCAATAAAAATGTTTTTGCAACTACATTAATTTGCATTTCTTTCATAGGAGGTTGCTTCAAAAATGGAGGTGAAAGCCATGCCAACTTTCATAATAATTAAAGATGGAACTCCTGTGGACAAAATGGTTGGAGCCAATCCAGAAGAGATAAAGAAAAGGATCGAAGCTTTGGTTCACCGGTCAATTTGATTTGTATCTGTTGAGCAATAAGAGTGGAAGTGCTTTACTGCGTGTATATTTTTGGCATATAAACTTGATTTCATGTGTTTTTGTTGGTGTAAAGTGTTCGTTACTGCTTTATATTTGCAAGCTAATCTTATATTTTAATGAGCTTTTGCCCTTTAGAGTTACTGGAGGTCAGAATCCATTGCTGAACATTTTGCATTGGAATTAATTCATAACCTTTTTAATTGTAAGCATTTCATTAAGCAGAGAATATGGCTCCGTTTGGAGAGAGTATTACGTGCGGAGATTCGACATAGAGAACCATCCATTTTTATCTGTGTGAATAGTAAAAATACAGTAAAAGCATAGTGATGTACCGTAACTGAACTTTTACTGTTCACAGACACAAAACTAACGCTTCTTTTTTTGGGACATTTAGGCCATTTAAGGCAAATTCACACACACTACGCATACACATAGACTCGAACCCTGAACCTCTTAGTTGGAAGCCTAAGCCCTCAACCAATAGGCCAAGGAGAGTTGTGTACTAGACGCTTCTTTGTGTTCAGTCTCCACATGTAATAATCTCTCCCCTTTGAAAGGGCTTTCTTACTACTGCTTAAAATAATTTTGAAGTACAAAAATTTTAAAATAGCAGTAAAAAAATCATCTCAAATGAAGCTGAAGAAAAAAAAGCTTTTGTCTTGAGTTGTGACATGGTGGTTGACAGCGTTAGTCATGAATCACATTTTTTTTTCTACAACATGATTTACATTTGATTATGATGAATCTAAAAAATATTAAATTGAGTGCGTTGGTTGAGCAAAGCTTTTTCTCTAATGTAGCTCATATTTGGATCTCCTAATTTTTTTTTAAATAAATATTTTAAATAAATATAATATTAAATTTAATTGATTATATGTATATATATATTTTTTATTTTTTATATGGATGGGACAAAAGCGTGGTAAGCCTACCTAATGTCATTGTCGGGAACAATTATTATGTCCTCTGATCGGACGTAGAGCTACGTTCGGCCGTCAATAATATGTCGCCACGTGCTCTTACTCTTTAATGTGCGGCCCAACGACGCTATGTTCGCGATTTTCTCGACATTGCTCGGTATTGCTTTGCAAAGACCAATACCATACAAATACCGAGTTTTTCTACAACTCGGTACAACTCGGTATTTGCTCGGTATTACTAGGTATTTGCTCGGTATTGCTAGAAAATACTCGGTACAACTCGGTATTTGCTCGGTATTGCTAGGTATTTGCTCGGTATTGCTCAGTATTGGTTATTGTCGAGCAAAATCGACCAATATCTAACAATAACGAGCAATCTTGGGTCCATGCTCAGTATTAGTTATTGCCGAGCAAAATCGACCAATACCTAACAATACCGAGCAATCTTGGGTCCATTCCGGGTCGAGTTGTCGGGACGCGCTATAAATAATGAAAACGCATGACGCGATTCTACTGGCGGTCGAACGAACGTTTGCGTACGTTCACCGGACCAAATAAAAGCTCCCGTTTGGCGCTGTAAATAATAAAAACGCGTGGCGCGGTTCTACTGACGGTCGATACGTGGTGACGGAACCAAATAAAAAATTCCATTGTCGGTGCATATTTTTATCATTCTACGCAATTATTTGTCGGAATAGATTTGTCCGCATCTGCAACTAGTATTACAATCTTCAGGAAACGTCTGGTTAAGCTCTTCCGCATGTCGAATCTAATGAAATCTAATTTGAAGATATCATAGGACAATACAGGAGTTTTAAATACTAGTTAAGAGATTTTGAATTTAATTTTTTAAAAAATAATTATGGTAATTAAGATAAATTTATAATTAATAAGATATATAATATTTGAATCTAAAATTGAGTTTTAATTCCTGACATATCAAAATGATTTGCACCTGAGTTTGAATTTAAATTTAGATGTGCATAAAAAAATAATTTTTTTCAGTACATTTACACTTAATAAAGTAAACTCATACACACAATAAATACGTAAAACTCAAATCTAAAATCTCTTGATTGATAATAAAAATATTTTATCAATATTTTGTGAAAATTTATCTTAATGAAATTATCGTAGAAATAATTATTTTTTAAAAATTATTGTGAATATTATAAATATGAATTTTAAAAAATAAATGATTACATAAAAAATTATAATATATTAATAATTTTGGCTATGAAAAATAACTTATCATAATAAAAACTTTTAGAAAGTTGAGAAAGCAATAAGAAATGAAATTATGTTTGTAATATGAAAAATAAAATAGTAATAAAATTAAATAGTAATAAAATTATTTTAAAGACTTAATTTGGTGATATTCTTACTCTAATTTCCTTTTTAGCCATAATATGAAAATTTTGTTAAATGTGACTTAGGATATGTTTGAGACGGCTGCAATATTTTATAAAATTATTTATGAAGTTGATGTGAAGAAATTAAGTTTGCTATTAAAATTATGGAAAATAATTTTCCATCGCAAAAATATTTAAAAAACAGTGAGAAAATGACAAAACAATAATAGTCAATCGAAAATATAGTTACTAACTGAAAAAACAAAACAACTAGAAAGCTGTCCCAAACAAGCCCAACAACAAACATTCAGCTTGAAGATCTATGAGGAAAGACTTGAAACAATACTCAATTCAAGAATCAAGGAGCAAAGAAATAGATCAGACCTATAAATTTCATTAGTAAAAAATATCAATTATACATTAAATATAATCATGCCAGTCAAAAACTTTTTCATCACCATTAAGCTTATAACTTTCATTCTCAATCGCAGATCAATTCTACATTTCATCCAAGCTCACAAGAATGTGAAATTATTCTGTGTGGTCACCGGACGCCGTTTGGAGGCGAATCAGAATGCGTCACATCATTATTTTGATGTGTACAGATCCTGTGTACTAGGTGACGTGACACATCCTGATTCGACTCCGGACGGTATGATGACCTCAAAGAAAAATATCTCCACAAACACGTTGTCGTTCACTTAGAAAGGAGATCATCCTGCAGATAACAGTTGGTTGAAAAGAGTTCAATAAGGACAAGAAAACAACATAATTCACAGAAGAATAAATAAGTCAAATGCATACCTCATCACGCATCAGCAATCTCTTCTGAAAATCATCAAAGTGCAAGTCAGAAGTGTTGTAATGAAGCTCCAACAAATTAGTCCCACTAAAAACTATAGTCATCGAAGTGCAAAAAAGGGTTATTTACAGTTTGATATCTTCACAATAAAAGAGAAGTATGAATTAAAAAGAGAGAAAGATGCATACTTTTCAATATCAATTAGCAGATTTCTTTTGGCTATTTCTCCCCCTCTTCTTAAGGGATCAAATAACTTTCCTGTACAGTCTGATAGGGGAAACTTCCATTAAGAATGCATAGCAATCAACTCATCATCTTTACATTTCCTGATCTTAACATTCATGACTGCTTCATGAGAAGAATCTATAACATCACAGCAATGTCTTCTAAGAGCCTGCAAATTAATAGAAATTTGTCAAAAAGATGATTAACACAAACAGAAGAGTTGCGGAAATCGATTTGCTCATAATGAAATATACCTTCCCGATTTCAAGATGAGACTTCTCCGAAGAAACAGTTATCTGCTGAAGTCTCTTAGTTGAAACGGAACTTCCTAAGCAATTTCCAGATGTTTGCCTACTGTAATTGCTTTCAGTTCTACTCAGAGAGGAATACAGACTTTCCAGAAAGAAAATCGCTGGCCTTTTACATGGGTCTTTAGGAAACTCCCTTGTATCGAACATATAAATGGCTGAAGTTGCAGAACGGCCCCTCTTCCATGGTCTAAATGTCCTTTGCGAGGCCAGAAGGTCATTGAGGAGTTCGTTACCTTCAAATACCTGAACTGCAAAACCCCAAGAAACAGAGATGGTGCGAAGCTCTTTGTGATCATAACAAACTGTTTGCTGAAGAATCCTTTCTGGATCAATATTTACAGCTTTCAACAAATGACGCAAGGCTTCTGAATGGTTCTTGGCAGGAAATAAGGGATCCACAGAGTCAAGGTGATGGAGGGATATCAGAGGTGACAATGGATGGGCGGATAGCAAACCAAAAAGGTCTCCTCGCAGGTCAACCTTCAAATGAAAAATAAAGTTGGTCAGTTAGTTGACTTGGAGTAATCATTATCATCTCATCATCAATTCATCATCATTAACCTCATCCCAACTCGCTCAGTTGTAGACCACAATAGCATTTTCAAGCTTCCTGTCTCCATTATCACCAACACATGCTTAGGGCATCTCCAACCGAAAATCCCATTTTTCACTCCAAAATGCAGTGAAACTAAAAAATAGAGTGATTCATCTCCAATGGAACTCCATTTTGTGCCCTTCGCAGAAGGTAACCGTCTTTTTCCTTTTGGCGCATTTCTTTGGCAAATCCGATAGAGACAAAAAAAAAAAAAAAACGCCGCCAACTCGCTCAGTTGTAGACCACAATAGCATTTTCAAGCTTCCTGTCTCCATTATCACCAACACATGTTTAGGGCATCTCCAACCGAAAACCCCATTTTTCACTCCAAAATGTACTGAAACTAAAAAATGGTGTGATTCATCTCCAATGGAACCACATTTTGTGCCCTTCGCAGAAGGTAACCGTCTTTTTCCTTGTGGCGCGTTTCTTCGACAAATCCGATAGAGACAGAAAAATAACGCAGGTGAACAGTGCAACGCCAATATTGGTTTCACACTGTTCACTCGCAACCAAATAGCGGAAGTTTTGTCGTTCGGTTGAAGCTCGCGAGGGATGCCATTCATGTGTTTGGAGTTCTGTTGAAGATGCCCTTAGAGTTGTTTGGTGCCGTCATGTGTCCCACTAAGCACTTAAGTGCGTAGAAGAACAAGTTGGTAACATTTTTTTTTTTATAACATCCACTAAGCTAAGTGCTAGCAACGTAAGCTGCACGGCATGTATCACGCAGTCTAACTCCTTGTAGTGTGACTTCAAATATTTGAGCCACTTGGTTAATTGATGGAATTTGGCTCAGTGCAAACAAACATCCATCCCGAAATTAACCCCCTACTCTGTTTTTCACCCCAAATTCATTAGAAATTACCTCATATGAGGAAACCGCTTGAAAAGAGGCATATGAAAACTAAGCTGAAATGGGTTCACTAGATAAACCCTTAAATGATTAACCTAGGATCTTGACGACTGCCATCAGTGAAACAACTAATTGTCAGCGATTCAACTGCCCATTTTTACTTGTTGATCCCAGTTCCCTGCAAATCAACTTTTTAAATAATATTAAACCAGTTTGAGGACGAGTTTGATAGACCGGACAAATTTGATTGGGAGAGAATTAGAAAATTTCCTAATCACGAGGGAGTTGATTAGGAAGTTAATGATTAAAAAGAATTAATTAGGAAATGCTTCCTAATTGAAGAGAGGGCATATTTATGGGGCTGATTGGGGGGGGATTAATTAGGAAATGTTTTCTAATTGAAGAGGGCGGATTTATGGGATGATTTGAGGGCTGATTTGGGAGGGAAATAATTAAGGAAATAGGAGGGAATTAGGGGAGGGATGTTTAGGTATTTATTGTTTAATTGTTTGCCTTAAATAGGAAGAGAGGATTAGGGTTAGGGGTATGTTTCAAATTTGGGCTGTTCTTGTTCTTGTTCTTGGAGTTTGGCGTGTTGGGCTCTAGCAACGTATAGGGATTGGGAGACATAGATCCTCCTCTCCAATTGAGGATCAATTGTATCTTGTTATTTTTCTTCCGTTAGTTTGATTCTTGCAATAAAACTATTGTTTTCTTTGGTTTTCCATTGAATTTGTAGAGTTTTCTCGCTGCTTTTGCTTCTTTTGTTAGGGTTTACTTGAGATCTTCAAGTATTTCCTAACAGAGTTCATAGTCCAACCGATTCAACCACACAGTTCAATTTGGTTTTCACAAACATGGTTCCAAGCCAATAGATGCCAACCTTGATGACTTCCAACTAAAAAAAAAAGTAGGCTAGTCAGACAAGTAGTTAAATATTGTTCTCACTATGTGTTTTCCTTTTTGTTGCTTCCATTCTGAGAATATTGTTTTTTAAGTTAACGCAGTCTAGAACAAAGAAATACAGTTGTAATGGTTATGCTGCTTTTGCCCATACAATTCTGACATATTGTGGGCTTCATGATCATTTAGGAAAAGGTAATAATTTTATTTGCAATGAATATAATGCTTGTTCAGCATTTATGTTTTTCTTTACCAAAAAGATTTATCATTTTGGGTACAAATATTGCACAATTAGTGCACATAGTCAGCACACCGGATAGTTGCCACTTGAGTGAGTAATGTAATACATCAAAGAAATAATTATAAATTTTATTGCATGGAATGATCTTGCAAGTACATGTTTGGAAATAAGTTGCTGATTAGTGTGGCATGTAGATGAACAAGGCCATGACATAGATCTGACTTATCATTGGTTTGTCGCTAATAGTATCTAAGCTAACCACATTCATGGCCTCTTATATGAGCTACCAAACCATCTAACATCCCAAAATGAAATTAAGGCTTCGTTTGGGACCACTTTCATGTTGCTTCTTAAAGTAGCTTTCTAGTATGAAAATTTTAATTTTTTATTAAAAATATTAAAAAACTGCTTTAAGAAGCAACAAAAAAACCGTCCCAAACAAAGCCTAAGTAAACTGTTCCAAGATAATAATGTAAGAAATTAGTCTAAGAAATTGAAGACAAACCTCTTTTCCATCCATTGAACAGGGCCAATAATGGCTGTCATCAATAAAAATGGGATTTTGGAAATAAACCCTCACAAAAAAAAAAAAAAAAAAAAAAAACAAAAAAAAAAAACTTCATACTCTATTTTAATCATCTAAGAAATAAATCCAACATTGAAGGTCATCCTTTTTTTTCTGTCCTTTTAAAGGGGCCTACAAAAAATGTAATAAAAAACTGACTTTCCTTGAAAAAATAAGGGATACAGTTAAATCAAGTAATTGGTATGTACAGGATTAACATCCATTTCTACCAATTTAAGCTCGCATATTGCGTCCTTGGATGCCTAGAGGAGAACCACAACTAAAATCTAACGGGGTTGTATTTTACATTAAATGGAAAATTCAGTACCAAGAATATCCGGTGTATAATAATAGTAAAAAGAAGGCCATGAATGGAAAAATTCAGTTCCAACAAGAAGAAGTATATAATAATGGTTAAAAAAAATATGAAGAAAAAGATGGGATTTCAGTAAATGGACGTCGTCACGAGAAACTACCTGATGAAACCCAGGTTCACGAGTAAGTCCCACTCCAAGCTCTGCCAAGCAAGCAAAAACCCTAGCATCGCTCCCAAACAAATGCCCGTACCTCAGAAGACACGAATCCATAACCTTCGACAAAACCCTAGCCAACGGATAGCTGATCGCAAAACCCCCTCCACCAAAAGCCATATCAAAAGAATGCTTCGCGTTCTGCTCCGCGCTCTCCGAAAAACTACCAACGTAGTACCACTGCTCCCAATCATACTTCGCCAAAGTACCCGCAAGGTTTTCGAGGAAGAACACAGTATCATCGTCCCCAAGCACAATCCACCTCACGTCACCGTACGCAATCTTCCCATCGAACGCGTCGAACAGCTCCTTGGCTATCCGCGCGACGCGTATGGCGGATCGTTGGCCTCCTTTGAAGGAATATGGTAAGCGGGAGGTGTCCGCTGATATTCGAAATGGAGGAACGCCTCGATCATTATCGGGGAAGAATGGGGGTATGGAGTCGAGAAAGACGATGCCGCGGGTGATTCCAGGGCGCCACCAAGCGCGGAGGTATTCTCGGCGGCGGGACCAGGTGTGGGTGGAGGCGGCGATGCCGAAGAGAAGGTGACTAGGTGAAGTAGTAGCGGTGGTGGAGGAGGAGGAGGAAGAGTAAGAGGACGCGGAGGTGGTGGGGGAGAGAGGGGAACTGTAGGAAAAAAGGATGTAGAGGAGGAGGAGTGCGATGAAAAGGAAGATGAGGATGCGAAGGCGGGAAGACGATGTTAGGGCTTGGCGGAGAAGGGTGGGGGAGTTGGCCGGCATGTTGGAGTTTCGGCGATCTGTGCGGAGTAGATGGCGTGATCGGGGTAGTTTGGCTCTCATGTAAAAGTGAAGGGCGGCTGAAGAACGGAGGCGACCGGTGGATGCTTTATCCGACCAAGTGCGGACAGCCACGCCTCTTGAAAATTATAAAACCGACCTTTCTTAACTCGATTATTTATAAACTATCTATCATTGTCAGATTCAAAACTGCAAAGAAAAAAATGTCGACTTGAACTCCTTCCATCGATTGATCTCTTTTTACTAAGGGGCTGTTTGATTATTTGAAAAAGAAATACAGTATAAAATAAATGCAATGTAAAGTAAATGTATTGTATTCCGAATACTTTGAGACTGTTTGGTTGTCTACAAATTAAACGCAGGAGAACTGTTTCCCTTGTTTGGTTAGGTAAATTCAGAGTAAAGTAAAAGTGATTTTAAAAAAAAAAAATTAAAGAAAATCATGGATAATCATGTAGCCATCTGTTAGTATTTTCATCAAAATCTCTCACACCGCCATTTTCAATTTTCAATATTTTTTGTTACATTCATAAGACTCGAATTGAAGGGCTCTTAGGCATTGTTTGGGATAAAATAATACTTTCTAAAGTTGTTTTTAATTTTTTATCCACCAGTGTCTTAACATTTGTGAGATATAACATCATTGTTGATTGTCCCATGGAAATGTGATGTAGATCGTTCTTTAATTGGACCACTCTTGATAAGTTCGAAGCTTGAAGACGACGTTCAAGCACGGACCAGATTTCGGCACAAGTGTCCAGATGAAGAACATACGGTAATACACTCGTCGTAACAATGGAGCTAAGAGCTGTCGCAAGATTTTGGTCTACTAGATGCCAACGAGCATATGCAGGATTGACTTGAGATTTGCCACTGGAGTCGATCAGAAGACGTGAAGGTGCTAATACAGAATTATCAAGAAAACCTTCGTAGCTGTTTGCTTTAAACAGCTTGAAAATTTGAGATCTCCACATAGCGTAATTGTCATTAGAGAGTTGTATTGGGACTATGGTTTTGATATTCGAAATAAAAAATTTTAGAGAAGAAGGAATGCTGATGTCTTCTGATGGCATTTATGTGGATGCTTCTTTCGTATGGGATGATGTAGACTGAGTCGCCATGTTTGGATCTAATGAGCTGTGAGCCAGAAAGGCTCTGATACCATAAAGAAAGTAATGCAAAGAAATATCAAGAAGACAAGAAATAGACATAGATTCTATTTCTGTGAAAATCTTTATTCGATATCAATTCGTGTACAGAGTATTCATATTTATAGGCTGATATGAGTACATATGCTTAGCTATCATTGGCTGTCATTAGCTGAGTTTGTTACAGGGGAATGAAAAACAGAGCATTCACAGTGGCGAAGATAACCACGGAGCCCGATGGGACTACCAAGTGTTCGGAGAGTCTGCGCTCCATAACCATGCCTTGATTGATGAAGAAGCTGATCTGAGCAAATGCAAAGTGGAAGGAGATAGTGGTGGCCCAGATTGGGAGGACTCTTACGAAGGATTTGAACTCCTCCACTTGCGTCACCGTGCAAAGCTTCCACCGGCTCACCGGATCTGCTGCTCGAGCATCCTTCGACTCCACCGCGGCCTTGTCGAGGAATTTGAAATGCCTGGTGTGAGGGAGTGATCTCTCCGTCTTCACCTCGAAGAGCTCTTCCTCGCTCTTCACTTCCACTCCCTTGGCGTTATTACGGCAGGCCGCGACAAAGACTTGGAGAAAGCGTGTGACTGGGCTGAGCGAAGTCGAACAAGAACGAAGGAGCCTAAGAAGCCTCTCGTGCAATCTTACATCACCTGCGAAAGCAATGAAGCCGAACAACAACAACACGAAGGAATTTTCCGTCCAGCGAATTTATAACCCGCTCAATATGAGGGGTTTCTAATTCGCGCAAAATAACCCCTGTAATACACGCCTAATACTTCCGAGGCTTTCCTTTTGCTCCACTCAAAATTAACCAAACAATCAAATTTAATAAATACATGTAATTATTTTACTTTACACTCCTAATTCAGGCAACCAAACAGCCCCTAAGAAAAGTTGAATTTTTATCAGGCTTGTTTGATTTGGTTCAGTTCAAGTTCAAAGAACGAGCCGTTCAAGCTCGGTTATCCACTTAATGACTTGGTATGAATATATAGCGTATATTGCTCCAAAATAAACTTTTGCATATATTGCTCTAATAAAATATATAGCGAATATATTTCTCTAATTTTATCTATTATGGAGTACATATAAGTCAAATCTCTCATAAAAAAAATATGGTAAAAATATTTATTTTTTAAAATGGTTAATTGCTAATAAAATAGAAAGTTTATATCTGAAGGTATACATCCCTATTTTTTACTTCAGCGAAGAATGACAACAGAAATACATATAGATTCCACAGCCTTAGGGCATCTCAAACCGAAAATCTCATTTTTCACTCCAAAATGCAGTGAAGCCAAAAAGTGTCTTGATTCATCTCCAATCGAACGTCATTTTGTCTCATAATCGTCGCTCTCTTGCTCTCTTTTTTCGCGCCTTTCTTATGGAAGTTCGGTAGAGACCAAAAAATGGCGCAGATGAACAGTGCGACGCTAATAAAGTTTTGCATAGTAACGTCGCATTGTTCATCTGAGATCAAATGGTGGAGGAAAAGGCGTCGGTTGCGACGTTTGAGGGCCTCCATTCGATTGTTTGCCAAACGGTTGGAGATGGTCTTAATAAGCCAATATCATCTCCTAATAGGTTAGAAGTTTTTTTTCTTAATACTTCGCTTTCCTCTAATCTACTCATTAATTCATTTAATTGAATTTCATTTAAAATTTGTCTTATTTTAGTAGAATAAAACTGTCGGATTATTTTCACTCAAATTAACTTTGGTAAAATTAATCAAAATCATCATTACTATTAATTACATTCACCAAATCACTAAATATGAATATACTCTAAACTCATCAAATTTAAAGTTATTCAATGTTGAAAGTAGTCCATAGCTTAAACCCTATTCGACACTCTAATAATGAACTTGCTTAAATGACTCACGAAGTCACAAGCTCATCAAAAGTGCTCATCCTTAGAACTTGACTAATTATTCAAATAACTCATACGTCGACTCAAGGTTCAACAAAAATTACTCATATATAGTTTTGTCTTATATTTGGACTTGCTTAAAATTCTCGTACGGTGAGCAAACTATAAGATAAATGACTTAGATCACTTAGCATATCTATCTTAGCTCACACCTACAAATAAGGTGTCATTTCGAGCATGAGGAGCATGACGTAACCATATACTTTGATTTAAAACTTTATTGAAATATCTCTAAATTCTCTAATAGATTATTTATCACATATCGCTCCCTTTAGCTTGAATTTATGTAGCATTTTTCTATCTAAGAGGTCAATATAGCCCATTATAAGCCAAATCACTAAAGACATTATTTGAATCCTAATATCTTCTCCCTCTTTGCTCTTTTAATAGTTTTGCATTAGGAGAAATTATTACGTGCGGTCACCAGATGCCATCCGGAAGCCAATTAGGATGCATCACATCACTAATTTACTATGTACCGTTGTGTATCGGGTGATGTGGCGCGTCTCGATTGGCCACCGAACGGTCTAGTGTCACATGTAATAATTTCTTCTATATTAGAGTCTTAGTACTTTCTATAAGCAACATTGAATCTAAATTTTTTGACGATAACATGAGTATGAAAATATATATGATATTGAGTGTTCCGAGAAAAATGATATCGCAATAACCACGACTATGACCAGCTTCAACGCACGAACGCATGGAGCATTATTTGACTAAGATGACCTATTGAATACTTGTTTGTTCTCTAGTAGGATTATCTTGGCATGAGGACTTCTAAAAAAATTGCCTTAGTTGCATTTCTTAAAGGAGAATATAAATCAAGAGAAGGTGAATTCATGTGTAATAGATACTATATTTATTTTTAAACTTCATCAATTAAAAATTAATGGTGTAAGATAAATGATCTAAATAAATGTTAATGACAATTAAGTACAATTAAACTTAAAATGTGCGACTAAAAAGATAAAAATCCACACAAGGCATCACGTGCCATTGACACGAGAGAGATCTAGCGCGCAACAGTCGGACGGAACAGCGAGGAATGGGAACAGGCGCAGGCCAGATAGAGAACAAAGGAAGAACGAGGAAGGGTTCTTACCAGAATAAAGCAGAGAGAGCAAAGCAGAAAGGGATTAAAAAAGAGGTTTTGGCATAAAAAATAGCGGCTTTGTGCTCCCTTAATTATCCTCTACCATTTTTGTCGTCTCATTCTCACTCTCAGTCGTTTTCTCGCGGAGATTCTCCTGCCGACATTGGAGCTCCGGCGATTACAGATCTAAAAGAGTTCGGAATCCCGTTAAGCGCCATCGAATCCTGGGATGGAATCGATCATTGCCCGGGCTCTCGAGTACACGCTCAAGTACTGGCTTAAATCTTTCTCCAGGGATCAGTTTAAGCTCCAGGGCCGCACCGCTCAGCTATCCAATCTAGGTAATTCTACTTATCACCCAATTATCTGGTGGAGATAAAAAAATAAAAGAGAGAGAGAGAAAGAAGCCCCGAATTTCTGTGCTTGGTTTGTTTATAGTTTGCTAAATTTCACTCCTTTCCCTGATTGATTCCGAGTAGACATTAATGGGGACGCGCTACATGCGAGCCTCGGCCTGCCCCTGGCTCTGAATGTGACCACCGCACGAGTTGGGAAGCTGGAGATCACGGTATTTTCTCATTTGGTGGCTTGATTTGTTCACGCGGTCAAATTTAACTGTTTTTAAGATTTTGGATTTCTTGGAGTTGCTTGAAGGTTGTAGTTTGCAAGCACATTTTTAATTTGTTTCTTGCTTGCTTGGAAGTGCAGCTACCTGCCGTTTCTTACGTTCAAACGGATCCGATTGTTGTCCAAATCGACAGACTTGATCTGGTACTCGAGGAGAAATCTGAGGAAGACAATGAGTGGAGCTCGAGCAGGTTATCCCTTTTCATAAGACGCGTGCTTTTGATTACGTTTGATTCATGGTTTCTGAGTTTTGCTTACTTGTTACAGTGTCCAGTCGTCAACAAGCGCTGCAAAGGGCAGTGGATATGGATTTGCTGACAAGGTATAACCTTGGCTACATGTTCAAGTATTTCCTATTTTTAGAGCGATCGAACTTATGACATCTAGATTTTAGCTTATCTGATGGTCATAATATATGACAAATCAAAAGATTATAATCTTTATTGATTGCTCTAAAAATATTATATTCTTTAAATAAGATAGCATTAAACCAAAAACTTCATTTGAGTAATTGTTATGGACATAGCACACTATCCAAATAACATTAGAACGAACAACCCTTATTTGAGAGGAGGATGGAAGAGCCAATTGATAGCAATGTGATTTAATTAGTTTATCATCTTTATGATCTCTCAAAGAGTAATGTAGTATTAAACATGGATTTTCAGATTGCAGATGGAATGACTTTGGAAGTACGAACAGTTAATCTTATGCTTGAAACACGGGGTGGCACTCGACGGCAAGGAGGCTCTGCTTGGTAAATTGATTATATATCTTGCCTCGGTGATTATTTGCACTATTATATGCTTTTTATGATATTATGTTGTATGGAGCATGCATATTTTTCCATTGTGTTCAAAGAGCACATTTGTTGATTGTTAATTTTGTAATTATTGTTGATAGAAGTAAGGACTTGAGTGTGATAGTTAATAATCTCGCAGTTAAAATTGAGTAGCATTTCTCTGTACAAATAACTTATTATGAAGAATTGGATTGGTAAATACAAGGAGAATGATTCTATATTATTCGATTGATGGTTTATATTTTTTGGCTAATCTCATAAAAAAAAATGAATGTTTTGAGGTTATTTGAACTTTTCTCGTGCAATTCTTTGTAGTCTTGTCAAAAATTAAGTTTTAACAATTCTTATAGTAAATAAATAAATAAAAATATTTGGCAATTCAATAAACATTCTTTGAGTGTTTTGCTCTAGATATACAAGATAAAATCTTTGGACTGTATGTACAATATTGGGGCTTCTATAATTTCCTTTTGCTTTTATGTACATGCTTTGATTTGTTCATTAAAACCTTGGCTATATGTATATCTAAAGGTTTCTCAATATTAAATGTATCATCTGTACACGATTAACTCTTACCAGGTCATCGCCATTGGCAGCTATTACAATTCGCAACCTTTGGTTATATACAACTAATGAAAATTGGGAGGTAATTTTTATTGTTCCACTTCTTCTTTAGCTGACTTGATTATTACCTCAAGTTTCTCATGAGAAAAATATTATGGTCCAGGTTGTCAACTTGAAGGAAGCAAGGGACTTCTCCAATAATACAAAATTCATTTATGTTTTCAAGGTTCTTAGGCTTATGAATCCTCTTTGTGCAATATGAACTAATAACCCCTGAAGATTTTTTTGTGCCACGATTTTCTGGAAATTAATTACGCTATTTCTATTATCTGCAGAAGTTGGAATGGAATTCTCTATCAATTGATCTCTTGCCTCATCCTGATATGCTTTCGGATTCACAATTATCCTCAAGCAATGGAATGAATGGAAGAGATAATGATGGTGCAAAAAGGGTGTTCTTTGGGGGTGAAAGGTTTTTGGAAGGAATCTCTGGGCAAGCCTATGTAATGAAGTTTCTTTTTTTGGGGGGGAATAAATAAAATTATTATTCTTTTTTCATGACTTAGATTGCTGATTTCTTCAACTTCAGATAACAGTGCAAAGGACCCAACAAAATAGTCCGCTGGGTCTGGAGGTTCAGCTACATATCACTGAAGCTGTATCTCCTGCTTTTAGTGAACCAGGTATACATATTGTCATTAGATATAAAAACATAACAAAACTTTGCATATTTATTTATTTGTTTTTGTATTAGCAGGTTTACGTGCTTTTCTTCGGTTCATGACGGGATTGTATGTTTGTTTGAATAGGGGAGATGTTGACCCAAAGGCTCAGCAGGTTCTATGTCATCTTCATCATACTTTGTGATTAATTGTAATATCTAGAAGATGTTATACTAATTTCAATCTTATTTTTCCATTGTTAATCTGATTAAGTACAGCGCTCCGCTGAGGCTGCTGGTCGTTCCTTGGTTTCGATTATCGTAGATCATATTTTTCTCTGCATCAAGGATGTTGGTATGTTTCTATTCCCAATAACTAAAATGGAAGGATGGGTTTTAGCCTTTATGTTGAGACCACATTTAATTTAAGTTCCCCAACTATTTATTTATGCATGATCATAATTATTTTATTTGTCAATTTCAGATTTTCAGCTCGAACTTCTAATGCAGTCACTTTCTTTCTCTAGGGTAATACATTATCTCTAAAGCCTGCACTCTTTTAGAACATTACGCTCTTATTATATTATTTTGAATTTCATCTTACGATTTCTGATGAAATTAAGCTTATTTTCCTTTATTCTGTATTTTGTACTGGAATTGATAAATTTGGGTTCTTAAATGGGAATACTAGAAGTATTTCTAAATGGTTGTGTCTATATATTGTCAAACAGATAAAATCAAAATTTTAGCTTGAATGCAGAGAACACTATTAGCCCGTTGTTGTAATCATGCAAAATGCAATAAGAAGTGCATTTTTGTTTTCTTCGAAGAATGAAACACGAACAAATCATGGCTCTATATTTTATTGATGTGTAATCTAACAAGTAATAAATCAAAGAATGGATACAAGGCAACCAACTGCTTCTGATATGATAATCCTAGAATAAAATCAATACTATTTTATATTTTCCTACCTGATGACAAGTCATTAGGACAAATATATAGAAATCAAATAACACTTGCTCAACATCATTAAGGAAAGTTAAATTTTAGGAGCAACCTTAGACAACAAAATAGGCATTCAAGCATATATATTGCATGCCCTTGTGAGCTCTCTTTCTCAAATGCTAGTTGACTCCGAATATGCAAAGATTTTTTTTATTTCATTAGGAATTGATTGTTTTGTAGATTCAATTTCACTCATAGGTATTGTAGGTTTCAGAAGTAGTTGTCTTGTACAAGTCTTGGAAGCATAAGTATTAGACCTTTCAAAACGAGTTATATTTAGATTGTATAACCAAGATCTATTTAAAATAAAATAAACAATGTTAGAGATAACACATAGCACTAAATTCGCACATTTGGGACAAAAATAATAGTTTTGTTATATCTCTATGGCTATGGATGTTATTCATGTTTTATATTCACATGGCCATGATATATTTTAAAGGGTTAAATCACAAAATGGTTCCTAATTATTCATGTGGCTAATTTAATCTCAGAGTATCATATTTTTTCAATTTAGTATCTCAATTATGTAAAATTGATTCAAAATTCTCCCACAAGGACAAATTGAGATTAATTTATATGGTTAAAAGGACAAATTGATCAATTTTGTATCACAATTTCTATATGAAAGACCATTTTAGTTCATTTTGTATAGTTGAGGGACTAAATTGGATAAATGTGCTACTCTGGGACTAAATTGGCCACACACGAATATTTGGGGACTATTTTGAGATTTAATCTTATATTAATAGTGGCATTCAAATAATTCTCATTATTAATGAGCTTGTAAAGCTTTCTCTCATGTTGAAATATATTTAAAAATTGTTGTTCTATTCCATTCAAACTCAAGCCAAGGTGTAGTTATGATGCAACACATGACATTCTTTCAAAGAATTTTTAACTAAAGCATCTTGATAATCATTTATATTCTTATCAAACTCTTGAACATCATCATATTCGTTGATTTCACTGTTTTCCTCTTCCACATTAGTATATTAGTATATAAGTTATCTTTGGGACACTCATTGACATAATGATCAATTTGATGGCTTCTAAATATGTCATCATTTACACCACAGTTTTGATGTGCATAATTTCTATAAGTTCTAGTACCAAACATCCTGTAATGTCTATCATAATTGTTTTCCTACGTCCTATCATTTCTAACTTTCTATTCATCATTATGATTGGAATTGGTTCAAGTTCACATGCACTAACTTAATTGGTTTAAAAAATTTCAATTTGTGTTTCAGCCAAATAAATGTCATCACAAAAATCTTTTTGTTTATTTAATAGTTCTATCAATTAATTTGACAAAGTAGTTAAAATTTCATACCTTTCACGATATGTTGAATTACATCAAATTAGCCTTGGTTTTGAGTGTTATGTTAAGACAACGTAAAGCTTTGGTATGACCTTGGGCTCTTAATGCAAATAGGATGATTCAACGAATGTAGATCACACAAAAGAAATGAAGATTCACAATCAAAGACCAATAAATACACAAATATCCTCCATTTTTAGCTGTATGAGAAATTAAATAAAAAATAATAATGCAATGATTGATTAAATTTGAAGAAAATAATAAAAAATTAGATCCTAAAATTATCAACGGGCAATTAAAAATTTGCATTGCAATTGAAATCCTAGTTGTAGCAAATTTTAACAAAAATTGGACTTTTGCAACATCAATAACAAAATATTTAGATGAAAAAGATTAATGAGATAGATTAACAGAGTGAGGAAGATCCATGCCTCATGCCAGTACAATGAGATAACTTCTTTCATAATTTGCTTATTGAATTTGCAGAACACTCAAAGGAATCTTACATGCAATAAGTATATGTATTGTTGTAAATAAGATTATGGAATTTTATTGCATCAAAAGCTTAATAATTTATTTGTCTGAGGTAACTATTATAGGTTCTCAATCTAAAGTCAGTAGATATGGTTGCCACAAAATCAACCCATATAATCTAGCAACTCAAATTTAAATTTCAATTATTTTGATAACTACTGAGCCACAAGATTGTTTTATAACTATTGTTCTACAACATAGAAGACACCAATACGTGATCATATTTTCATCCTCTTTTTGTGCCAAATTGTTCTTCCCTAATGTCTTCTTTTTAACTGATAAAATGATCCATCGTCTTCATAATTCTCTTCCTCTAAATCTAAGATTGTTATATTATAAGATGGTCAAGTAATTTTTGACCTCAAGGTGAGGTTTTTCATGAAAAAATATTTTGGAGTTCGCTTGATGATCGATGGCTCGAATATAAAACTCAAAGACTCTCATATTCACATTTCATACCAAATTGGTCTAAATGGAACTCATTATGGCATGTGCATCATTCGATATTTGTATATTTTTTCTTTTCTTTTCCTTCATAGAAATAAGCCAATAAGTATGTCCACTTAAGTGAGTATTAATTAAACCATTAGCTCTACAAGGCCAAGCAGAGCTACTACGATAACCCACCACAGAAGTAAAGCTACCAGCATTAAGATGGAGCAACAGAAAAAAGTTGAGGAAAAGAAAAAAAAAAAAAACCTTTTACACATGCTTTAAACTAGAAAAGCAAACCTGAAAAACCAATTCAGTGGCAGTGTCATAACAATGACAATATTCGTCCATCAGTCAAATTGGATATGTAATTATTGGAATAATTGTTGGACGCTCAAATGATGGATATGCAAGCAGGATAACTTATATGTAGTTCAATATCTCCATGAATCTAGGAACTTTTGCTTGCATTATACCATTTAGTCTATGTACTAGAACTGATAACATTCGAGATTATGCAAGATTATACTCAAAAGATCCTAAACAATGACAGCCTGAGCAAAAGAATACACAAATACTTTAAAATAAGCCATCATTGTCTTTATTTCTCCTTAAGATTCTTGATGGATTAAACAGGAGGCTCGTTCTAGGAGAAGTATAAAATAATTTGGTGCCAATGGCAACCATAGCTCTCAATCTCCTATGATCATCAGTGGGAGGTGATACAACATCGGAGAGTAAACTGGAAGAGTGCAGGTAAAGAACTGGAAAGTACTTAAGGTTTTGAAACGGAATAGAGCAAGTTGCAATTGCAAAACTCTGGAACATATCTTCATCTATAACTTCAATTAAAAAAAAAAGAACTTCAATTATTCCCATGGCCCAAAGGGAAGTTCAGCAGGCAGCACTGGGGTTTACTGCACAGCAGAATGACACATGAAGTGATCCCTTCGGTATTTCATTGTGGAACTGCCCATTCAGATGGCTATTTTTTGTGTCTCTTTACTCCGGAAGTGCATGCTCTGCATTTTTAACAACAATTCCTAAGCCTTTACTCCACTTGTGCAAGGGATAGGACACCAGTCCTCTTCAGATATGCCTTGGGTGTGGAATATTATGTGGGTGTGTTTTGGATATAAACCACAAATATTACAAGGATTTTGGACATTATGAACCAGCTGTATTTTTTTTTTTGGGATGAGGCACCATACCCATTGTTTTATTCCCTATGAAATACAACACTTTAAAAATATAATATTCTTTTGGCAGATCTCAGTACTTTTTCTGACCATCTTTTGTCTTTATAACATTTTTCAGGCTAGCGTATCTGATGGCGAGATTACGAAAAATTTGACTCAAGTTATGGTTGGTGGACTGTTTCTAAGGTAATCGAAATTTCACAAGTTTTTACCATTATTTAGTTGTATGTATTATATTCATAAATGTATGCTAGGTTAGAAAATCTTAGTATAATTTGTTAAATTTTAAGTCGTTCACAATCAACTCCTCTTTTTCACCTTTATGGCATTCTAAATCAATTAGCTTTACGTCAACAAGCGATGGCGGCATAATCAGGGGGGGTGGCGGGCGGGCGGTGTTGTTGTCGATGAAGACAAGAAATGGCATTTTTTGGTTGAGGGTAGAATAAGTTGAGGGTGGATCGTGGATACATGCCTCTCAAGCTAATGGTTATGGTAACACAATCATGTTTTGCCTATATGGGTTATCTTTTGTTTCAAAGGCATATTAGTAAGACATGATTTTATGGCATGCTTGTAATTGTAATGTGATATAGTTAATTTTTCTAATTTTAAATAAATAACGCCAACTTCAAAATAATCAGCATTGCTCCTAAAACATCTCATGGTCATGGAAAAGATGATAATTGCTTAGTGATATAATGCACAAAAACAGATTGATATCAGTTTCGTCTGGATTTACAAGTCAAAATCAATTTTCTGTATTCTAGTTTCTAATCAATATTGTTATTATTGGTTGAAAAAGTGACTGAATTTCATCCAATCTACTACAATTTAAGATGTTTTAAACTGAATTTAATATTTAGTTCGTATTCTGTAAAAAGTTAACAAGTATTTGAATGTTCCCAGGGATACCTTTGCTAGCCCTCCGTGCACTTTAGTTCAGCCATCAATGCAAGCTGTTCCAGAGGAATCTCTGCAAATTCCAGAATTTGGTTTGTTTTCTGTTTTTTCCTTCATTTTTCGTGCCTGATTCTGTCAATTTTTTGGGGACTGGTAATATAATTGTCTTATTTGAAGTTAACCCGATTATATTTATTCTATTTCAATCAGGAAAGAATTTTTCTCCACCAATCTATCCTTTTGGAGATAAGCAGATAAAGTTCAATATTGATGTGCCTCTTATTCGTCTCTATTCTCTTCAGATTACTCCTTCGCCTTCCCCCCCAACCTTTGCTTCTCAGACGGTCATTGACTGTCAACCTCTTTCGGTATGTCGTGGAGTTTATTATGACAGAATAATAAGCACAGAAGAAATTTATTTTCTTTGTTTTATTTCAGATTATTCTCCAGGAAGAATCATGTTTGAGGATCTCCTCTTTCTTAGCTGATGGTGTGGCTGTGAATCCTGGCACTGTCTTGCCTGATTTCTCCATCAATTCCTTGCTGTTCACTCTGAAAGAGTTGGATCTAACTATTCCTTTGGACTTTAAAAAGCCTGTTGGCCTTTATTCAACTAGAGAATTCCATTCTCCTGCCTGCTTTTCTGGTGCAAGGCTTCATGTGGCAGATTTGTATTTCTTGCAATCACCATCAATAAGATGCAATTTACTGAATTTGGACAAAGATCCTGCTTGCTTTAGCTTCTGGGATCACCAACCTATTGATGCCAGCCAAAAGAAGTGGACAACTCAAGCTTCTCTGCTTAGTCTTTCACTTGAAACCTGCAATAGCTTGATAGCAGAGCAGACACGGCCCGCGAATTCGCCCACGGGGCTCTGGAAGTGTGTTGAAGTGCACAAAGCCTGCTTCGAGGCAGCTATGGTCACTCCAGATGGCAGACCTTTGGTTGATGTGCCCCCTCCAGGAGGTGTTGTTAGAATAGGAGTTTCTTGTCAAGGATATTCATCAAACACTTCTGTTGAGCAGCTACTCTTTGTCTTAGATATCTATGCTTATTTTGGTAAAGTTAGTGAAAATATTAATAAAGTTTGTAAAAACAGTAACAGCAGAAGCGGGTTTTTGGGTAAGAAGTTTATGGAAAAGCTTCCTAGTGACACTGTAGTTAGTTTAACTGTAAGTAGCCTACGTCTTATGTTTCGTGAGTCTTATTCTTTGGATGTTCAAGGTATTCCTTTAGTTCAGTTCACCGGAGAAGATTTCTTCATGAAAGTTTCCCACCAGACTCTGGGTGGTGCTTTCGCCGTGTCGACCAGTTTGCTTTGGAACAGTGTGTGTATCAACTGTGTAGATGATGTGTTACCTCCCAGGAGGTTCATAGGTGCTGCTTGTGAGCATGACTTGCAGGGAGATGAGAATGGTTTCCCTCAAATGAGACCTGTTTGTTGGATTGATAACCGGAGTAAGAATCAAATCCATGCAGTCCCATTTCTTGATGTGTCTATCTTGCATGTTGTGCCTTACAAAATGCAAGATGTTGAATGCCATAGCTTGAATGTCTCTGCAAAAATTTCTGGTGTGAGGCTTGGTGGTGGAATGAACTATACCGAGGCTCTTTTGCATCGGTTTGGCATCCTTGGACCCGATGGCGGCCCCGGTGACAGTCTCACAAAAGGATTGGAAAATTTGTCTTCTGGGCCTCTTGCAAATCTCTTCAGACCATCATCACTGATGGATACCAGCAAGGAAAATAGTATGTACCTCTTTATCCCTGCTTTTGGCTACTGTAAATTTTCCTTTTGCATGTTCAAACCGCATGGAACATCAAAATTTTGGGAATTCGGGAATTTTATTTCACATGCTGGATCTGGTTTGTATATTTGTATGATTATTTTATCATAAATATAACTAACATTCTGAGTTCCTTGTAATAAATTACTAGATTAGAAACATGCAGTAATTTCATAATGTTGACAATTTTTCCTGCTTGGGAAGTTTTCCACAACACTGCTTTTTGTTTTGTTTGAGGGTTTCCTCACAAAATTTAACTTGTTTATTTCCTGTAACATGTATTAAATTGAGAGGACAATCTGCAATGACTAAGGTTTCAAGGATTGCATTATAGAGGATCTTGAAATATGCCTTCAATGTGCATGTGTGGAGCATTATAAAAATGTTGTAACTGTTGAAATATTAAAGTTTGAAGGAGTTTTATAAGGCTTCATTGTTATGATTGTTGCCTTTATTTATCGGTCTAATCCAAACTATTTGAAGTTGGCTTCGTCAATGACATGGAATCTAATTTCCGCATTTTTGAATACTCTTTAATATTTAAAATTCGAAAAAAAAATAGCTCTATCGAAGTGGCGGCCTAGTTTACTCTTTTTTTTTGTCAAGTGCCTTACATCTTATGAGTATCATCTGATACAAACATTTTTGACTAAAAATTCAGCAGAGGATCCAGTGATGCTTTTGGAGCTAGGAATGCCGGATGACATTGATGTGTCCATAGAGTTGAAAAATTGGTTGTTTGCTCTTGAAGGAACAGAGGAGATGAGAGAAGGGTGGCAGTATTGCAATGGGGAGAATTTCACTAGAGAGGAAATGTGTTGGCACACCACATTCCAGAATTTACAAATGAAAGCAAAAAGATCTCGCAGAAGTCATTCATATGGAACAGGAAAGTTGCAGAAGGCCGGGAACCATCCTTTGGAATTGATTGTGGTAAGACTGTTTAGTTTCTCAAATCCGTGAAAATATTTTTATTCCCCTGTTAAATAACAAGGCTATACAATTCAGAGCTGTGAACCATTTTTTTCAACGCACTCAAATGACGAATTTCGGGTTTTACAAATTTATATATATATATATATATATATTTTAATAATCCTATTTCAATAGATGTTACAACTATTTCATTTATACTTTTTACTCCACTCGTCCTTTTTATCTTTCTCAAATTTAAATCTAATTTTAGCATGGAACAAATTCAATCTCCACAAGGCATCTGCAATAGCATGAAGAAATTCAGGTTCTTGTCTTCGTCTACTTTTGTTCTGTTAGGAAATACCTGAAGTTCACAAGTAAATCCTAACGATCTTGACAGAAACAACGAGAAAGATCCACAAATCCAATGGAAAAATTATAAAACAGTAATTTTTTATTGCAATAATCAAACTATCGGAAGGAAAATAGCAAGATACAATCGATCCTCTATTCAAGAGGAGGATCTATCTCTCCCAAATCTCTTGACGCTGCTAGAGCCCAAAGATCTAAGAGATCTCAAATTTCAGCCAATTTCGAGACAAACTATTTAATGCATACAATCCAAAAGGAAATCTCTAAACAACCCCTACTTTGAAATTTCCCTTCTAACTCCCTTGAAAAACCTTCCTAAGCAGCTTTGTTAAACTTCGGCGGTCAGATCAAGCATACAAGAGGCGGAACTTCTCCGCCTGTTTCGCACGGGCCGGTCTCATAGGACCTGCTAGCTAGACCGGTCTAACATGTTCCATTGACCAACAATCCTCCATTAGAACATATTCTGCACCTGTTTCACAGTATGATCCTTGAGATTTCACGCAACTGGTCATGCCTCCCCCTTCAATTGATTGTAAAATCAATTACTTAAAAACCATTTTATCAAGGGCATCCTTATATTACAGGGACATATAGTAACATATATATTTTTTAGCTTTGTTGCTTTCTTCCTAGAAAATCCTTGTGTATATTCATGATTTGATTGGTTTACAATTGTATTTAACATTCCTGGTCTTTGTGTGGCACCCATTCTTCAGCTTTTACTATTTTAATTGTGCTGAAGATGATATTCTCGTGTACTTGCAGGTGGGCATTGAGGGTTTGCAGGCCTTGAAGCCTAGGTCCGGCAACGCTCACTCCGAAGTAGGCACTCTAGGAGCCATTAGTGATACCGGAGGTGTTAATATTGAAGCTCAATTAGTTCTTTCTGATCCTGAGAGCGCCGAGGAAGCCAAGTGGACTGTAGAGAATATCAGATTCTCGGTTAAACAACCAGTAATACATTTCATTTCATCCCTTTGTAATTTGCTATTTTGATCAGCCTGGATGGATCATATAGATCATTCTCCACTTAATACTTGTGTGCAGATAGAGGCGGTTGTCTCGAAGGACGAACTTGAGCACCTTGCCGCACTTTGCAGGTCGGAAGTGGACTCAATGGGAAGGATTGCTGCAGGTATTCTGCGGGTTTTAAAGCTCGAGGACTCGATCGGCCTGGCTACTATAGATCAGCTCAGCCATCTTGGTACAATTACTCAACTGGAATATTCTTACATCTTCATATTACCATTTGTTTTGTTAATTAAAGCATTTTACTTGCAGGAAGTGAGAGCTTAGACAAAATCTTTAGTGCTTCAGATAAACTTAGCAGGCGCAGTAGCATCAGCAATGTAAACTTCACACCTACATCAAACGCCATTGTTGGGAGTCCAAATACTAACTTGAATTCCACCATTTCTTTACTGGAAACTGAGCTTCAAGAATCACAGGAAAAGTGCTCGGCCCTTCTTTCCGCATTTGGCAGCTCATTAGATTCATCTGAACATGTTTCAGATATCAAGAAGCTTAAAGAACAACTGGAGAATATGCAGACTTTGCTGACAAGAATGAGGACTTTGCTTTAGTTCATAAGCTTCAAATTTTTGGCCTACGTTCTGTGTTTTCATTCTTTACTTGTTCATATATTTGTATGTAGGTTGTAAACTATAGGATAGAATAAGGAAACTGGATGGCAGTTATGGTTTAGCAAGCTGAGATCTGTTTGGTAATGGCTTTTCTATCGCTTCAGCTTCCAAAAACCAAACGTGAGGTCAGTGTAGGGTTGTAAGGTTTTTATTACATTAGCTTAGTATTCATTTATATACGATATGCTTATATTTGTTTGTTTAAAAAATTGAGTAAATTTGAATTTCAAAAATTGATATTTAAATGATCAAGCTAAATTATTTGTCTATTTATCTTCTTATTATTCAACAAGTATAGTTCATCCGAAGTTTGATGAGATATTCATTTTATTGTTTTTTTATAACTCATTTGGGATTATTTTCTTCCTGCTTTTTAAAACAATTTCCTAATAAAAAATTACTTTATTATTTATATGATTTCATCAACTCTGAGCAAACTCATTTAAAAAAAATTATTATAAATTATATTTGAAATATATTAAAAATGAAGAGAAGAAATATAAATAAAACTATCAAGTGATTCATCATTATTTATCTCTAATATCTTTTATTTTAATTTCTTAATCTCATAAATCATAAATATTTTATTTTTTTCATTATAGACAAATTGGCTTATGACCCAAATCAAATTTATAAAATGAAATTTAAACTCAATTAATTAACCAATCCCAGACTCTACATCTAATAGTATCAACAAACAAATAAATGTCAGGCAACTACTTTGTCAAATAAAAGCAAGATAAAAATATTTACAGTATTCATCATTGTCTGTAAATGGTTGCCACTAAAGGATTAACAGCAAGTTGAAATAACACCAAGAGTCACGTATATACACAACTCCTGTTTCAAACTATAGGAGAAAAGCTGCAAGGCGAGCTACTGTTCTATATCCACTTCACCATTTAGATCTATATCAATCATCTCTGAATCCACCTTCTCCACATCAACATCTACATCTTCATCATCACCCTCATACTGACAAAAATGGACAAAACTTTGAGGTTATCACACACAAAATATATGCCAGTTTCATATTAGAGCTTTTCATATAGGAAATACTTGAGTTCGCAAGTAACCCTAATGAGAAATACTTGAGTTTGCAAGCAAACCTAACAATCATAGGTAAAAACAGTAAAAAAAAAACTCAAGAAAAAGATACAATAGATTAATTAATCCAAAATAGTAGATTGTATTATAGGAATCAAATCAAAACAAGCACAAAGCAAAAGATACAATTGATCCTCATTCTCTCCCAATCTTTAGACGATGAGTCTAGAGCCCAAGACACTAAAGAAAACTCCAAGAGAAACAATAATCAAGCATGTCGTAATCCTAACATCTCATCCTCTTTAAATACATATCTTCCTAATAAAAAACTTCCTAAATAAACCAAATTCAAAATAGCCTTCCTATGCTTTAGCCGTCCTCTTCGCTCTCTCTATTTGCCGCCCTAGGGGGCCGACATGCTTGGGCGGTACTTCTAAGGAGGTGGCATAGCCCGCCTCCTATAGCAGTGAACCAGCCCCACCTGGGCCGGTTTGGACGGTTCAGGGAGAACAGTAACATTTTCACAACACCGAATAAAAGGTGACATGGTGAATGTCACTCTATTAAGAGATTATAGCGAAGTTTTTCCACACTACATTGCTAATAGTGATTTTATAACGCAATCTAGCAACATGAACAATCAATGAATCAATAGACATAGCACTATACTAAAATTAACAAATAGGAATTAGCATTATCAGAAATATTAAAAAAATGTGCAAAAATTAACTGAATGTTACAAAATGAAGAGCATATAATTATTAATAGTTCGATCAATGCTTGGGCAGCTGATAACTAATACAGAAAAATAGAAAAGGAAATGGCTTCACCTGTTTGTAAACATTCTGATTGACAGGTGGAGGTAGAGGTGGAAGATAGGATGAACTAATTTTATTATCCAGGGTTCCATTTTCATTAGGTGCTGCAACAGCTACCATTCCATCAGATTTCTCGTCTATCTCAATGTCTTCAATGAGTTCATCTATGGCATTAGCAGCCATACTTGTATGAGGTAATACCCGTTCAGCATCGGAGCTCCTATTCTGTCAAATCATCAAATGTGCAGATAATAAGAACGTGACCAACAAAGTTCAATAAAATTGGGTTTTGAATAAACATCCATCACAGAGAAAGATCTACGATTTAGAATTCATATATCATAGTTGGCATGATTAAGAGAAATCCAACCTTAGCCAAAGAGCTAAATTTTGGAGAAAATTTTCCACGATTCCGCTTGTAACCATCAAGGAGTGATAAGGGAAGATCCTTTTTTTCCTGGTTTAATTTAATTGTCTCAATATCCTTTGTAGCATCTTCAGCTGAAAAAGATAGTCCTTCTGACCTAGAAAGTTTATCAGGTTTGGATAATGTAGCGGAGTGTTTGCTTTTCTTTGACACATATCCTGTATTGAAAAGTCAGAAAACATATTTGTTAGGCCTAATTATAGTTAGATAAGAAAGGAAAAACATACTATGAAAAATACGAGTTCAAACATAAACGCCTAAGTAGGTCTAACGAACTATACAAATATGCAACTCTGCTTAGACATCAACCCAATAATATCATCCTAGCCCAACCACCAACCTGCCATACGTGAAAAAGGAAAAAAAAAAAGATAAGAGAAGTAACCACCATTCAATTATCAAAAGGATGTATCATCTTTGCTCACCCCAAATCCCTTCAACAAATCTGAAGTGATGAAAATCTGGGCTGGTCATGCTTGGTTCAGCTTGAAATTAACCCATCACATGCAATACTAACTGTGAACTGACCCATTTACCAAAAAAAGATAAGAACAAGTTCACAAGAATTAAGCGATCCATAATCTAGCTTCCATCTCTCAGAGTTTTCAGAAGGTGAGAAAGACTAGGGAAGGAAATATTCATGAGTGTGTGGAAGGAAGAGGTTGGGATGGAGAGGAAACTCAGGTTCAGGAGATGATGACCAGAGAAAGAGGCCATAGTCGCTGTATCTATAATCCTTTTGTTCTACCAAATTTGAGGCAATGTGTAAGGGTAGAGAGATAGAGAGTATGATGGAATTGACAAGTGATTGATGATGATTACATAGATGTAATTATATTTATATATTAGATGTTTAAATTTATTAGGAATTAGCCACTTTTATACTTATTATGGCATATTTAGATGAATATTTTCTTGTACTTAGCCTTATGGAAAAATTTAGGATTTTATTTATCTATATATTTTTATAAATAAACCCTCAGCAATTGCAAAATTTATATTTTGAGGAATTCACTATAAAAATATTGCAGACCTTATTTAACTTCCTATTTCTTTTACATTTAGGATTCGGCAACCTAATTGCCATGAGGCATCAACAGATTGAAAATCCACTATTTTGGCATCTTTTGTTTTCCATCAATTGATCATTCCCCACATATGTTGATTTTATCATCTCTTAGAATACATGAACCGATCCTAAAAAATCCCAAGAAATCAACTTAAAATTTTGAATCTAAACTTAGATTCAAATCTCTAACTACTTGCCAAATATTCTCCATCAAATTAGCACAACTACGATATATATATATATATATATATATATATATATATATATCTGTATCTGTCCCTCACACATGCCAAGGTACCTTTTTCAGCATACAATCAATCTCTCCTAGCCGAGCTTATAAAAAAAAGAAAGGATAATAAAAGAAACAGAGAATAAATGAGAAACAAAGAGAAATACAAAAGAGTTAAAATTGTCAATATTTCCTAAAGATTTGCTCCTACACTCATGCTTGATGGCAATGAATGAAGAATGGAGTTCGATCAGACTCTGAAGATTGTTGCGGGTACCTCTACTGTTAGCATCTAGAAATATCTACAAGTTTCATCTTCCTTCAAGATACTGCACGGTACCTTTGATGGAATAAATTGTTATGTGTTAGGCCTTAGATCTTCAGCTTTCTGAAGAGATTCGACCGCCCCTAATCTAAGGAGAGCTTGTTTCCTCCCAATGAATTGATGTAGCTTAATGTGAAATTGATGATCTAAATAAATAGAACTTTCTCGATATATTTCAATTTTAAATGTCATTGTTAAGTAACCGTTGTTTTATATTTAGCTCTTATATTCATAATGACAATGTTAAAACTAGTATAAGGTGTACTTCTGCATTTATTTATCGGGCTATTTCTATAATTGACCACTAATACATCATAAAAATCAAATTACGATGAATTCAATGAAAATTTCTTATAGCCCTCAATATGTCTTCCTACCTCTTTTCCCTTGTAAAATCATATTATGATGAATTCAATGAAAATTTTCTGTAACATTCATCTTGGCAACCTTTTTTTTTTTTTCGTTCATCATTCCACAACCTAAAATCTCCAGGAATCCACATCAACAACTTGAGGGATTCACATTTTAGTTATCGTTTCTTTAATTTTTTTCCTAAATGTTAATGATTTTTACTATTTCGTTGTATACTCTGCACCATATAACCGCTAAAGAAGCAGAAAGCAAGTTAAAAAATAAAATAAAGGATATAAAAGAAAAGGCAAGAGATTGAGCCTCCAAAGAACACTGGGATGGATGCGAGGCATGTGAAACGTTAGAAAAGATAATGCAAAGTCGATGAAAAGACATAACAAATTAGATGATAGGTGCAAAGAGTGAATTTCACTGCCCTAGTAGTTTCACTTAGTGCTGGTACCATCAAATCCTAGTCTGACTTCTCATTAGAGCTTTATTATTTTGATTTGGGTATTAAGAGCAATACAAACCTGACAAAAACTTTTTTGGGCCAAAAAGTACCTAATTTGAAATGATCCAAGCCAAAAATGGCTACAAGTTCCCAGTTTTTTACATGTAAAGTTTAAACTGGATTTTTAATTGGTTTAAATATTAAGTATACTCTAAGAGGCCATTTACCTCGCTTTCCAGAAATGCTGAGATGGATGTGTACCAAGTCTACGCACAGCGTGAAATTTAATTTGAATAGATAAAACCTAGTGGTAGCATCCCCTGATTTGATGTCATGAAAAATACTAGAAGACGGTTTCAAAATGAAAAACAAATTGCAAACGAAGAGTTAACATTTAGGTGTAGAAAGAAAGGATGGAAGAACAAATCTTAAAAAGGGTGTAAAAATGTGTACAACAATGGAAAGAAGTTTACTGAAAGGTTCTTCATGATTTTCTTACAGTTCTGCAGTAAACTTGAAATTCTTCTCTAAACTATACATTAAAGCAAATCTCCTACTTTTTCTTCAAGTTTCCCAGTGATAATCAATGACTTGCTCCAATTATATAGATTATTAGTTTAAAAAAATTATATAGATTATCAAGTAAATACACTGCTTTTAACATTGATAGCCTATAGCAGTATATATCACAGGTTTAACATGTAAATGAAACATTTTGCAACCTACCATACTTCACTTCATCAATGGCTTCTGTGTGGACAAGTGATCTTTTTTTCAGTGATGAACCCCTATGCATCACATCATTTGGCGTGCTTTCCTGAAAATCACCGTTAGGCTCTCCATCGCTTAAAATGTTTAAACTTGAATCTTCTTCATTGGCACCTAGCTTTGAAATATCTAATCCAAGTTGATCTCCAAGCTTCTGAAAACGAGATTGAGACCTGCCGTGTATATACCAGCTTAATCAGTAGTCAATAAATGCAGATGCTTTGATGAAATCAACACCCTTTTGAGTTAGAATCCAACCAGACATAATTTAAGAAATAGATCTAGTCATCATACAAATGAAGACCATATAAAGAAATGAGTACTAAACAAACTTGCCTTTTCAATTTTGCTGCGCTTTAATTTGTTATCCATAATTTAACAAATATATCTAGTCATAATTAATACTAACTCTTCTCTACACCACAAAAAAAAAATTAAAACAAAACAAACTTGCCTTTTCAATTCCTCCTGCGCTTTAATGTACCGTCCATAAGCTTTAAAGAACTTATCTATTCTCGAATTTATCCTGCAAAAGCAATCAAAACCAGTTTGGCAGTCAACTAAATAAATATATTCACGAGATTGACAACTATAGACTGCATCCCATGGAGAATGATTATGTTTATTGAGAAAGATTATTTACCTTTTACAGTCTTCCTGCTCTCTGTTTAACTGCATCTCAAGATCCTCAATTTTACTCGATAATTTCTGTGCTTCCTCAAACTTCTTCTCCAAAAAAATCTAGCAATTTACAAAAGGATAACTTTTTTGTTCTAGCGAATCCGAAACTGTATGACTTGCAAACTAATGATCAATAATAGTCCATGTCCAAACATGCAAAACTAATAGAGATCTACATATATTTAAAAAATATATAAGTACAAAGCACAAGGCAGGGCAAATTTCTTTTTGCCATTAGATCTACAGTCAAAATATAAACCAACTCCTGATCTACAACCGATTGAATTTATAAATTTCAAGTAAATATCCAAAATGGCCAAGAACATAAAATCATTGGGAAAACAGCACTCGTCAGAACATGGAAATGATTAAATATTATTTAGGATTAGATAAAGCATGATAAACTGGGAATGCACAGGAGTAAATGATTTATTAGGGTAATTTTATGACACCAAATCAAAAGTTTTTTTGGTTGATTGTTGTTAGATAAGTTTCTAGGGATCACTGCAAGCAAGCCAACAATAAATACATTGCCATCTTCCATCACATACAATAATTTTCAGGAAGAACACCCTTTTAAACAGTCCAATGCATAGCTAAATATTGCAAAGATACAAATTGACAAACAAGCTTGGTCAATGGCCAGGTGAGCAAAACATTTGCTGCACATGTTTTCATACTACATAAATGTGCAATATTGTATTTGATTTCACATAGCCAAACCATGTTGGCAGCTAAAATTAAATGTTTGTAATTAATCCCCAAAATAGACAACCCCTCATTTGGGCAGGAAAAAAATTACTCACGGTAAACCGTGCTCGTCTACATCTCTTGAAAGATGGCTCATCACCATGTTGGCAATTCGAAAGTAGACATTTGCATTTTGGCCGAAAAATAGGCCGTGCCTCATTGAACTATATAATTAGACCTGAAAAAACTATTCATGGTTGAACCTATAACTTATACCTTAAAAGATCAACATGACATCTATTCTACACAAGAAATTAGCCTAGAATAGTCGCCAAAATCCATAAAATAATTAAATTTCTAAAGTAACACTTTTCTATGGTCCTTCGTAAGCAAGGAAAATAACCACCACTACGCACTAACACTGGAAGATATTTATAAGCATAAGATTTAAGTTCAGGAAGTAAACAGAGGAACCTGTTTCTTGACAACCTAAATTGTAGCCCTAAGTATCTAGATTGCCTTTATGTATTATGTCTACACAAGGTACCTCTCCTTTTCTAGCCTCTGTAGTCTGTACTATGTATATATTACTTTTTTGTATTATTCTTCAAGAAAAATTGAAAAATTAAATTCTTTCAATTTAATTACCCATAGCAAATTCAATTTTCCTTCTCTAACCATCGAAAAGCCATCATCTATTAGGCAGAGGGGAAACCAAAATCATCATGAACTGGATTGTTACAAAAATTATGATTGATGTACCCTAACAAATCATACAGAACACAGATGATACTAAAAGAAAATTGGATAATAAATAAATAAAATGAATGCCAAAAACTGACTTGTGCAAAAATATCAACAAATATAGAAAATACACACATACATCTTAACACACACAAACAAAATGCATTCACAGACAGTATGATAGATGCGAAATACGTTTACACAATTTTCTGTAAAATATAATATTCAATAAATCCACTATCAGCAACAAAAAAGCTGGTATGAATATTGTCAATCAAGAATCAATATTATCATATGATTTGAACCCCATGTCATGAAAAATGCTGATAAAGAATGAAAATTTAGGTTCCTATTGAAATTACTTAATAGAACTTAGCAGTGCACGTCATTTACCTAGTTGATGTATTCTTTTTTTTTTCAACTTTTTTACAGAGATTTGAACCTTAGACATTAACTTTGGCAGTCAAAGACAAAATACCATTCAACGAAGTGTTTAATGGTAGGTGATGGTTAACATGAATTAAAAGATCAGAAAATTAATGAAATGCTGAAAAGATTGCTTGGCAAGAAGCTTTGTACTAAACTTGACATACTAATGACATCACAAGCAACGAAAATTACAGGTCCATTAAATGCACTATCACATATTAAAAATGAATTATGTCCAGATGTAATGTTCACAACTGTTGCACCTTGAACTATTTAGTGTTCGACTCAACATCTTATAAAATGATAATTGACAGCCACTGGGGAAGCTAGGAAATCAGTCAGCTGATGTGGATTAAAACAAGATTCTGGACCAAGTTTATCATCCTACCACCTGCTTAAGAATACCAGGGCAGAACAAACCTTACCAAAAATCCTATTAAGATGTTATTGGACACTTCATTATCACTTTATTGTCACATTTGTTGAAAACTTACAAGAATGTTCCTTGAAAAACAGTCAGATTTTATACACGTACAAACACAAGATGAAACAAGAACACTTTGCTTAGTCCTTGAATCTATTTTTTTCAATTATAGTTTTAGTGATGTTATTTTTGGGCATGATTGAATGTCTCCCTCAGATTATCTTAAGCAATTGAGCTCTCACTCTATTATATATTCTTTTATACTTTCCTTGACAACATTTACATTTTAATTCTATATTTCTTTAAGCACCTTTTGCTTCTATTTTGTCAAATTTGGCAATTCAGGATGGCTTATTACAAATTGCATTTGTTATTATTTAAGATGTCATTCTCCTATTATATAATAAAAAAAACTTAAATTAGTAGTTAACAAATGAATAAAATCATGAAATATTATCATTAATTATTAAAAATCAGTATCAATAATTTTTTTCTAAGAAAACCTAAGATATTATGATAAATCTTAAAGATAAAATAATTTTTACTTTAACAAGAAATACAAAAAAAATGAAATTAGGGTTGGAGGAATAATGCTAAAGAGTTGTATCCATTTGTATTTTGGCCATGATACTTGAGTACAGGAGAGAGGAATACTTGGATGCTAAGCTGTGAGTAGGAACCAAATGACAATTGAGGTTTGCAGTTACTACTATGGGATAAAGTGTTGAAGGTTAAGGGGATGCTAGTGTTGCAAGTAGAATTAAAGGTTACAATGGTTGGCGGCATAATGCAGTAGCAACAGAGAAGGATGAAGGAATGGAATGGGAATGATTCATAGCAAAAAATCTCGAAGTTCTAGGACTTTGAAAATGCATGAAAGAAATGGCATGGGAGTGTGACAAGATCGACAGAGAGAAATGATGTTTTGATGAAGCTGTTTCGAAGAAATGGCATGAGATGAAAGCTAAATCAAGAGTGTGTGCTTATAGCATGAGCAATGGACTAGGGCATTAAAAAGTTCCTGATATGTGTCATGCATGTGCCCCCTCTGAGTTTGGTGGAGTCCAACCTTGATTTGGGCTTGAAATACCTCCCACATAATTTTGTGTCATACATGTGTCGGGATGTATTGAAGAAGTTTCCCATCCAACAAGGACTCAAAAGTCAAATTGAAGTGTCCTTGCTTCATCTTGTGTTTGTGTGTGTATAAAATCTGATTGATTTTGAAGGAACTTTCTTGGGTGTTGCTTGACTTGACGTCTCATTCAAGAGAGAGTGAGTCATCCATCCAATTCCTATGTTCACAGTGAGTGAAAATGATGCAATACACAAACGCCTTTTTTGCCATACAAAAGCAAGCCCCGAGCTGTTCCGTACCAACCAAGAAGCTTAGCTTCATTTGCCATTTTGAGGGCTTAGAATAAGCTCATGTTGGAAAGCTAGCATTGCAAGAAAGAACTCTTATGCAATGAGGTGCAAAACAAGGAGATTTCTCACATCCGATAAACTCATTCCTTGACCCAGAAAAGTCGATCTACGAATACCAGGCTAGCTGCCGAGTTCTAGCTTTTTGTCCTCCCTGATAGTAGGCTCGCTTCTAACAAGTGATGGCTTTCCCTATACACCTAATAGAGGAAGTGGCAAGCAAGGGTGAAGCCGAAAATAGAAGTAGAAAGAGTAGGAGTATGTGAGAAGCTTAGAAAAATTTTTTGATTGAATGAAACCAAGGGGCGAATGGGAAATGCTTTAGGGAACAACCAAGTACCAAAAAAAAAAGAAGCTAGTATTCATAAGCAAGAGGTCCTGGGATGACGACTCTAAATCGTACATTTAGCTTTGCAAAACCTTAGTTTCAAGTAGCAAAAGGGGAAGGAAAGGAGGATTATCAAAATCATTTTCCTAGGTTAAGGTAGGTTCAGTGCCCCAAGGGTGAGAAGAATCAATAGTTGTTAGACTAGCTCGGGTTTTCTGAATGAGTTTTGAGTTGGGCTTATGAGCGAATCACCCTTTCCCCTTCTCTGCACTCAAGTGGTTGTCTTTCGCTTGGACACTTTCTGCTACTCAAGAAATTTAGTAAGTGAAGTTCTCCTATTAGCTTAAAAAGGGCTTTCTAAGGTCGACCTTTCTTTAGGTTGAATAGCGTGTAGCTAATCTGGCTAATATCTTAGATCAGGGGACAACTCTATCTCCACTTCTCGTGCACTCGTGAAAACAAACTCATGGCCTAGCCTAGTTGGTGAATGAGCCTACAAGTGGTAACAGCTTTGTATCATCTCTTTTGAATAAGTTGTTGAGCTAGATGCGGTGCTTTCAAAATCTTGTGACTCTCAGTCATCTATCTTCTCTTCACCAGACAATTATGGATTGGGGAAAGACTTTCCTTCTTTGTTGACTTCAACTAATACCGGTTGATAGCCCAATCACTTCTTTCTACTATCGTCATGTTGAGTTGCAATCCGATCAAGCTGCTTCGAACGAACCTTGCCAATTAGCTTTTGGAAAAATAATGCCTCGTTTATGAACGGTCTCCTCCTTAGCAAAGTGGATCATATGGTGAAATTTTATTTAGGATGGAGAATTGTGATAAAAAAGTGGAAGATATTTGGACCAAAAATAAATAATGAAAGAGCATATGATTTGAAATCTATAGACCAATTGCATGAAAATTTTAATCACAGGTTTTATTCAAGTGCTTTTGCTCAAGCAATCAATAGCACTCTCATTGATAATCTTATGAGGGAAACACTAATGCAAAAGGGAATAACCAATGTTGAAAAAAATGCTTTAGTAAATCAACGAAATTTAGAATGAAAAAGGATGCATTGCTCTGATAGTTGGCCTGATGCACAAAGAGAACTGCATATTAATTTTATGGGAGTTATAGTATATGGGATTATGTTTACAAAGCCAATTAATTGTAAAGGAACATATCAAGATAAATTTTTCATTGCAAGTGATATGAAAGAAGTGATTATGAGAGAGCTGAACTGTTCAAATAATTACCAACAATGTATCGATCAACAAAGTGGCAAGCAATGAGATTCAATATCCTCATATTTGTTGGACATCTTGTGTTGTTCAGACATTGAATCCTGCATAAATACTACTTGTGCTCCAAAGAATGCAAGTAATAAGATCACAATGAAGAATATGATTGAATCAATAGCATTGCAGAAGATACAAACCATTAATAATATCATCATGAATTACTCGATAAGGCTTTTAATTTTCAATGAATTTGTGAAGCTAAAAATATTGTCTATAGTACAGGCTCATTTTGCATAAAAAATCATTAAGCACAAGCGATAATTATAAAACAAGAATCAAAGTAAGACAAGTAGAACATCTATCGAGAAGATGTACAAGAATCAAAGAAAACTTGTCTCCATCTTATGCATGATATGTGAGATTAAAAAATTGCAAAGGTGAAAGGAATAATATATCGACAAGAAGGAAAGAAAGATATTGAAGAATCTACCTTTTATAAGGCAGTGCATTACATTTTTGGTTAAATATTGAATAAAAGCAATTAAGCAACACTCCACTTCACTGCTTAGCACACTTTCTTGATGCAAGGTAACATTTAATTAATCTTAGCTTATCCCATCTCCTAGTTATTAATCTTATTTATGAGGCACTATGGATGAAAATGTCTAATGGATGAATTATGGTGCTAGTTCCCTACAACTACATAGTTCAGCTTTAAACAACACTGAATTCTGCTCTATAGATGGCCATAAAAACAATGGTTAACATGGATCTTACATTAAGTAGGCATGCAATCAGATTATTTGCACCTCTGGTTAGTTCTTGACTAATATCATTTTTTCCCTAAAATAAAGGTCATGAGAATGCTATAGGCAGTGGCAGGGAACCTAGATTTGGTAGGAAGATGATGGTTATCTGTTACACACTGAATGTTGATCTCCCAAAATTAGGTTCACGTGCAAACTAAAGAAAACAAAATATCTGAACTTATAGTAAAAAAATATGAACAAGAGACAAAAAAAATATAATTATAATATTTATATTCTAACATGGAGCGGGGTTATGCCATCAACGCTTTAGTCTGGATCCAACCTGAAGCACCCAAGGGCTAAATTATAGTTACCAAACCACTCATTAGTATTAACTGCTTAAGCCAAAACCAAACTTTCTAAGCAACTTTGCTCCAAGAATGAAGAAATAAAACTGTGTGTCAAAGCAAACATGTATTCACATTAGTAAAGAAGGCTTCAGAAATAATTCTTCCTAGTATCATTTAATAAGGTTCTCACAGTACACTTGCTTTATCAGGGACATAAATGATCAGTTTGGGGTAACAACACGAGAGCACCTAAACCGCTTAGTGCAGTTGGTCAGCATTCTAACCCATCTGCACACATAAAATGCTGTCGCACAAGCAACAACAATTACATGGTGACCACTGCCTCACCAAACTTACCCTACATAAGCCATAGTATGTGAAAACACCTCAGGAAGATGTGTGAATGTATGCATGCACAGCTTTATGCAAAAAGAAAAGAAACTCACCTCAAGGTGAGATTTATGATCTTCAAGCTTTTCAATATCAGACTTTGCTTCCCTTAGCTGCAGAAAGTCATAAGATGGCATAAGTTATGAGTGCAGATTGCATAGGAAAACATTCTGCAATCATTTCAAGTATGCATATAAAGTATTCGATTTTGCATCTTCAAATTCCTCATTAAACCATTATTCAGACCTTCTCTTCATATATAACTTTTTCGTCAAATGATGAAATGTTATTTTCTTTTCTTGTATCTTCAACACCGTCAGATAATTTATGGCTTTCAGAAATATCACTTTCTCCATCCACAGATCGCTTCTTCTTTGGCCTTCTTTCACTGTTAGTCACAGAAGCAATTTCAGAGTTAAACAATAGTAACATTAATAAGACATGCACAAGTCAACATTTATGTTAGCTAGGGAAATTGAGTCCGTAACCCTTCAACATCGAATGTTTTGCATGATAATGAAACCAGCATCCATAAGAATGCATCGTACTCAGTAAACTACAGTAATCTAAATAAGTAATTAGCTATGAATAATTTCTCATATTATAATATGAAGGCTGACTGATAAAGACAATTTCACACACCGCCAAGTTTTGTCAAAGTCAGTAAGCAACAGAGTTAATAAGACCACTAACCCTCATCAAATTGACACAAAAACTACAACTGCATAAGTTCAATTGGTATAATACAAGTTCCTAAGGCCTCAAAACCCGATTAAAGAGTTGAATCAAGAACATAAAACTTAAAGGATTAAAAACATAGCAAAAAGGACATTCAACCCCAGATAAAGCATACAACAACAACAAGCCTTTATCTCATTACGTGGGGTCAGCTACATGAATCTTTTTTCTCAATTTTGTCCTGTTAAGACTCAAATTCTCATTTAAATCTAATAAAGAAATGTCATTTCTAATATTTTCTAACCAAGTCTTTTTAGGTCTACCTCTACCTTTCTTAACATAAGGCCAAATCTAATACATATACTCTCCTAACAAGGTCATCGAAAGGCCCACCGTTTTACATGAACAAACCATCTAAGTGACTCTCTCTAATCTTATATTTCACTGGAGCTACTCCAACCTTTTCATGGATATGCTAGTTTCGTATCATGTCTCCAAGAGTAAATCCACTCATCCGCCTGAGCATCCTCATCTCAGCAACACTTAACTTAATATTATGTTTCTCTTTTAATGGCCAACATTCTGCGCTATAAAGCATTGCAGGTCTCAACACCATCTTACAAAACTTTCCATTAAGTTTGAGTGGTACTTTTCTATCACACAACAAACTCGAAGCATTCCCCCACTTCAACCATCCAACTTGAACCCTATTAATAATACCCCCATCTATTTCACCATCACTCTAAACAATAGACCCAAGATATCTAAAACGAGTACACTTATTAATGACTCAATCGCTCAAAGTCACGAACCACCACTAGATCTATTACTACTAAAATTACACTTCATGTATTTGGTTTTAAATCTAATCAAACAAAATTACACTTATTAATGACCTTCAACTCCCTCTCTAATCTTATCAACAATAAGAATATCATCGACAAAAAGCAAACACTAGGATACATCCTCTTGCAAATGTCTAGTAAGAACATCCATGACTAAAGCAAAAATATATGGGCTTACGGCTGATCCTTGATGTAATCCAGCTGAAATAGAAAAATAATTGGCCAAACCACCTTGTATTTGAACACAAGTAACAACTCCTGCATACATAGCCCTAATGACTCGAATATAGACATTATTAACACCTTTCTTTTTTAGAACCCTCCATAGCACTTCCCTTGGAACTTTATCTTATATTTTCTCTAAATCACTAAATATCATAGGCAAATCATCCTTATTCTCTCTAAACTTCTCCAGCAACCCTCACAAAAAATGAACAGCTTCCATAGTAGACCAACCCGGCATAAATCCAAATTGATTTTGCGAAACATTAGTATCACGTCATAACTAATGCTCCATAACTCTTCCATAAAGTTTAAACACATCAACTTAATTCCTCTATAATTCGCACAATCTTGTGCATCACCTTTATTCTAAAAAATATGAATCAACGCATTCATTCTCCACTCATATGGCATCTTTTTAGTCTTCAAAATAATATTAAAAAGTTTAGTAAGCCAAGAAATTCCATCTCCTAAGCATTTCCATATCTCTATTGGAATATCATCAGGTCCAATAACTTTTCCACACTTCATTTTCTTTAAAGCCTCTCTAACTTCAGTTTTACTGATACGCCTATAAAAATAAAAATACCTATTTTCATTTAAAGTACTAAGGTCACTAAAGTCAATCGTATTCTCACAATCTTCATTGAAAAGCTTAGCAAAATATCTCATCCACCTTTGATGAATATCCTCTTCTAAAAAAACACTTTTTGATCTTCTCCTTAATGCACTTCACTTGAACTAAATCCTTACGACTCATATTTCTTTGTTTGGCTAACTTGTACATATATCTTTCGCACTCATTAGAATCTAATCTATTATAAAAATTATTAAAAGCTAAAATATTTGCACCACATATTACTTTATTAGACACCTTACGAGTCTCTTTATATGTTTTTTAATTTTCAGAGTTTTTACATCTAAACCTATTATTATAACAAAGTCTCTTATTTTTTTATCTTTTCTTATACATTTTGATTCCACCACCAACTATGTTTATTATTAGAAGCTTTCCCTTTTGAAACTCTAAGCACATCATTTGCCACATTCTAAATATTACTAGCATCCACAATAATATTAATGTGGAATATTAAAGCACAAAAAATCATTCAAGCAAAAAATAGTAGAACTTCTTCTAGGTGTGTGAAAAAGAGCCGAAATAGGAGTGGGGCCTTCCATGGCATCAAGTAACCATATGTGAAGGGGTAATTGTGCGGATTTAGCAACTGCACCAACAAATAATAAAAAGGCACATAAAGTAGAAAATAAAGAATTGACCCCTTTATTATTAAAGTCCAATTTAAAATGATAAATTCATAAATTATTTTGCCATTTTAATAGTAATTTATAAAAACTTATAACGTTTCAACTCAATTTCAACCCCAATCTATTGAAGAAAGCCTAGCGCTTTCACTTTATAAGTACACATCACTAGCGCCTTGCTTCATATTTCATTTCCTTTTCCTCTCTGAAAAGCTTCCGTCACTCTGGTATGAACTTCTTCTAGCGCCTTGATGGCTTACGCCAATAGTTGGTATCAGAAGCTAGCTTTCCTAACCATCCAACTGGCTTGGGTGGCTGACCTTTGATACCCAAGTCTTTTTCAAAACCTATCATTAAGGGCGTGACGACGATATACGATAGGAATAAAAAAAAACTCGTTATTGGTGTTCCGGGGAAGATCTGCTTATGAAATAGTGAAAGAAAGAGTCATCTCATTTCCTTACCTTACTTCTTCGTTCTTTCTAATTCATTCACTTCGACGGCTGGTTCTGAACCCGTGTAACATCATCTTATTCAACCAACCTCCACCGCCATTTACATTGAGGGGCGTTTAGCACAAAATAATTGCTTCTAAACAAAACAAATGCTTATATACGCTTACTAAAAGACTCACTTTCTTAGGCAGAAAAAATGAAAGAGAAAGATCATGATCAGTTCAAGCTGAATGCAAGAGCGATGATCTGAAAGCAAGAGTTCTTTAGAATAGAAAAGAGAATATCTAAAGAAATGATTTAGCTATCTGCTTCATTATATGAGATGATTGCAGCAAATATGGATACAGCTATCGCCCTCCTTGGTGGTAGTGTTTAACTAATGATAGAAAGGATCTCATGAAATAGAAGCTTAAAAGGGGAAAGTAAAAAACGGCAACATTAAGTGGAGCTTGAGCTTTGGTTACCTTCTCCTGATAGGTGATCTTGAAAGGCTACTGCCTGCAAGTGGAAAACAAATAGATTTTTATTAGGTTATATACGATCATAAGAAGTAATAAAATAAAGTGACTTCAAGTACAAGATTGGAATTCAACTAAAATGAAGATCAGAAGCCACCAAAACAGCAAGTTTAGCCAAGCGGGGATGGTGGAAAAGGTGATGGAAAGAAAACAAAGAGTGCTCACCCCTATCATGAGAAACAGTCTTGTGACTCCGGAAAGTTTGATAACCTCTTCCATCTCTCCCTGGGGAATATCTACGGGTTGGAGATTGCCTCCTATCAAGCTTATCCCTCAAGTCACTACTTCTATAATCCCGTCTACCTGCAAATAAATAAAGGGTTAAATATGGTGAAAAGTACTCTCATTATCTTAGTAGAGAACAAACAAGGACCCAAACAATACATAAATTTTCAGGTCTTACCATCTGAGAATTATGAGAAATTCATAAATAAAAAGTTGTGCCTCCATGAAAATTCCAGATTGTCACATATGGTAGCCCATACAATAAATACATATTGAAATAGTCACGTATGATCAGACATCACTGAGATTCCTTTACCAGATATAAAAGCGCTTATGATGAATAGAAGTCATTAGGAGCCATGGAAAGAGAAATTGCCCTCAATAGAATAGTTATTTATTTTGGCGATAAGAAAACCCCATCAGTTGAGTAGGTTCGGACCAGAAAAATAGTATAATCCAATCATAAGCTTCTTCCTTCTTCAGTAACAGCTTTTAGGCCTTTGGATAATGCATTCCCCAACTGATAACAGTTGTAACAAGATGAATCCAATAGCATAACTTACTAACGGTAACTCCAAATATTGCTGAAGACGCTAACAATACATATAGCACAACCTATCACATTTCCATATTACTCAATTGACAAACCTAATTCTATAAGCTCAGATGAGATTGCCAAAATGAACCAATAATGAAACATATATATGTATATCAAAAATTGATTTGTCTAGAAAAGATGCACCAGAATAAATAATCCTTCAAGTAGACAAGAAATTAGATGTTTCATGCCACATTAGAACAATTGCATAAAGATGTCACCAATAATAATAGTGAGTTCTGTTAAGGAGGCACTTGAATAGCTTGATAACAAAACCCAAAAACAAGTATGCCTCGGCCATTCTGCAATAAGCTTTCATGTGAGCAAATCTTCTAATAGAAGGAAATAAAGATATGCTTTTGATCTCCAAAGCTGTTTAGTTCGATAACAGGAAAAAAAGTAAATGTCAACAAAATAATCATTAATCACCAGTTAAAGACAAACTCAACATGACAAGAATATTAAAACCGATCATGTATACCTAATATCATTTATGTTCTTTGCCAAACATCTAAATTCTAGTTTATTCTCCCTTTTAATCAGGGAAAAGAACAAGATAGAGCCAAAAACTTTCACATCTATAAAAACAAACATGCAGTTGGTTTTATATCCTTCCATTAAAGTTCGGGCAAATGCAGTTGAAAGAAATTTTCACAAGCAATACACTTGATGGACAAAATATTCAGTGATTACTTGGGAACCAAGTAACACAATACTAACAAATAGGAACTTAACTTTGATTGACATATATAGGAGTTTACTTAACCGTAAAGAAACAAAGTAATGTACATTATTTGTAAGTTTTCCGTTGAGACCAAAAATACAGAAGAACATAGTAAATTTCAATTTTTCTACATGGTTTAGGCAATTGCTTTTAAGGATTTTTACAACTATTTGACTTTTATAGTTCAATCATCATTGTTTGGTCGTTACTACGCATACAAATGAGCCTCATACAAATTAGATAAAAATCCTTTACATAGACAAATGCACTCATTGTAGGCAAAACATAAGGAAGAAGGAACTACAAACATAACTACTCCATTCCCTAATTCACCAACTCACTAAGGATGATCCACATCTTTTATTCAGAAAAGCTTAAAAATATTATAGCTAAGTGGTATAGTGCCTGCCCACATGATACCAAATGTTCTAGAAAAAGATGCCATTAACAATAAAACAAAATGAATAACCAAACTATGCCAGCTTAACCTGAGATTGTTTGGCATCAAGGGAAACAAGGAACACATCAAAGCAAAAGCTCTAACAATCAATATAGCAAGAGAAGTATAACATAGGAACTAGGAATCAAGGTTGTTATCAGTTATCACAAAATCTACTATTTAACTTCCTCATCTTCTTCAACGAACAATGCTAGCAACTTAAGGGTTCATATGGGTCAGCTTTTGTACTGCTTTGCTTTATAAAACGTAACCATACATTTGTTGGCAACATTGTTTTCTCATATAACAAATTTCACATTTCTCTCATTCCTTGATAATCATTTTGACCTAAAACAAAGCATCATTACCAAGAAACTCTCAGAGAATCCATTAAGTCACAGATTTCATGTTGTTGTACAATAGCCTGCATTTCCAATAATTGTGGAAACTAAATATTCCAAGGGAATGGACTAAACAAAGAACCGCATTCCAATTGAACTATTGCCTGGGTGTCATGGCTAAACGCACCATCTTATTGACATGTGAATATTGGCATTACCAGATCACTTAGATTTTAACTAAGATATGGGATGAATAACGAATTGACTGCAATTATCATTCATTTTTTTCTGGTTTGGCAGAATTGTCCACTTAAATTATTTAACAACACTGAAACTCATCCATCAAGTCCCTCCCATAAAAAGAAGGGGAATTCTTGGCTGAGATGTCCTTGATATCCTAAATCTTTTAGCAGGGAATTCAGGTAAAAAATATTCAATTCAATACAAGTAAAATCAAAATTTCCAAGAAATAATTGCAAGTTCCCTAGGGAAAAAAACTTTTAAAAGTACGTTTACATATCAGAACATTTCCTTCAACACTGATAAGCTAAAGACAAAAAAAGAAACAGCTCGTCTGAGAAATACTCAAGTACATCAGCATTCCATTCACATTATAGTGCTAACAAGGATGTGCAGAAAATCTAGGGGTAAATTGGGGCTAAAAGTAAGACTTAATGCATATATGATTTAGTAAATTTTGTATATCCAGATTTAGAAAATCATGGATGCATTAAATACTGAAATTTTTTTAGCGAGATGGATGTTTAATCTAGTTAAATCCTAATAAAATGCTTATTGCAGGAATTTTAGAAGCAGAGTCGCAGTGAGGAAAAGTGGAGTAAATCCCTTAAATCTTACCAACAACAAAATTTACTAAATCCAGGATTTAGCCGAAAGGTAGAAGGATTTATATGGCTCAAAAAACTGTTTGGCAATATTTAGCATGAATTACGGCTCAATCTTGCAACCAAACCCCCTGGGAAACCAAATCCAAACAACTATCTCATAAATTGCGCGTACAAGGTTATTACACAGCATGCCAAAAAAACATCTGAAAGGAAAAATTCGTAGAAAAATTTGGTAAAGAGGTATATTCCTGTGTGGTATCAATCTCCTACCATTGAAAGATCCACCAAAACGGCGAAGTTCGACTTCTCCATGTGCAAAGGAGCAATTCTGACGAGGACAGCGGCCCCTCTGGTACAGCAAACACAGCTTCGTCTTGTACATCTTCCTTCCCAGCATCGCTAACGAGAATAACCGTTAACAGATCCAATCGTAGAAGATCGAGATATTCGAAGAAGGAAAATGGGTTGGCAAAAAAGAATCCACGGATTTCGCAAACCCTAGAAACGACCAGTGCAGATTACAATGAAGAGTCGTGCTGTACGCGCAGAGGAGTGCCAAATTACCGATGAGATATAGAGATAGATGACTAGAACCAGGCCGCAAACCCTAGATATGACGGCGCAGAGAACTGTACCGAACCCTAAAAACTGTGTTGCATATAACGAGATTTATATTTATAAAATTGATTTTCAATGTGATCGTGGGCTGATTTTTTTATAATTGCGGAAATATATCTAAAAATTTATTTGGGATTATATTTTCTTTTTTTTATACTTGTACGTGTAAATTATTTATTGAAGCTTATTTCAATAGAAATTAATTCAAATTGATTTGAATTCTACTTTTAAATTGAACTTGATTTAAAATTATTTTAAATCACTTTTGAAGTGATGTTCAATTAAGTTGGCTGATGTGATCGATGTTGTTTGATGAGAAGAAAAATTTATAATGAAGCTTGATGAAGGCTCACTGATGAGATCTATAGTGTGTGAGGGGAAGAGAATGCTCAATTAGATGGCATCCTCGAAACATCGACGGGCAACAGACTTGCTTGGGTAAGACATCGTAGGATCAGGACATTTGAAGGAAGGTTCAAACTAAGTTTGAAAATATGTATTTGAATGCGGTTCGAATCTTCTTCAAATGAGGTTTAAAGAAAGGTTCGAATTTGAATCATATTAAACCTAAATCATCTTACTTTTGTACTAATGTCAACGCGCACAAAGATGAAATATTACATAAGATATTATAGTTTTTACATGAAAATTTCAAAAAAGGGAAAAGTCATGAATCTTTGCCTAATAAAAATGATTCCACTAAATATGCATTGATAACAAGGATTTTCTTGTCCGATATATTGAAGAAGGTGGATTACAAGAGTATGGGTTATTATTTTGACTTCTTTTAGAGTGACGGAATATCACCAATAATAAAGGGGATGAGAGATGTTTGTATGTCTGTGGCCAAATAATGGCGGCCGGCGAGTTGATAGGGCAGTGATGGTTCAATGGAAAGGTCAAGTGATGGTAATTTAATAGTCGAGCGGTGGTTTTTTTGTTGATTTTGAACTCTTCCAAAATCCAAATCAACCTTGATTTTGAAGGCTTTGATAGCTCTATTATGTAATTGATTATGGAGTGATTATTTTTCTAATTAAGTTGATTTGATTTGAAATTTAATTGAAGATTTGATTGATGTATTAATTAGATGATCTAAATATTGCATTAATTAAGAATTTGATTAGGATTAGATTAGGGAACTTTTTCCTAATTTACTTTGGCTCAAATCTATAAATAGAGCCCTTGGGGCTGTTGTTGCATGAGAATAGAGAAAGCTTGAGAGCTTCGTGATTTCCTATTATTATCCAAATTAGTGAAATCATCCCCTCCACATGGAAGTAGTCATGAAGGCATCTTCACCAAACCACATAAATTGTCGTGTTCTTTGCAATTGACTGTTTTGTGTGATTTAATTTTGTTTTAGCTGTGATTGTTTGCACAACAATTTGTATCAAAGTTAGATTTCGGTGGAATTTTTTATGGCGGTTCAAAGAACGGGAGCAAATCTCCGAGACATGGTCTGGTTAGATCGAGCAAGCAAAGGTTGTTGATTTTTGTTTCATATTGTTATTGAGCCGGATTGGGGCAATTCTGATGTCATAAGGAGGTTGCATTTTGGTGGAGGCTATGAGATCTTGTGGAGCCATTGATACATTCACCTTATCGGTGGAGAAGGCGTCGCTCCATCATGTGGTTACACATCCCGTCAAATTTTACGTGACAAAATTTGACGACAAAGGGAACTTTGGCATGTGGCGATGTGAGATGATGGATGCACGGTGTTCTTTGAATATAGAGGAAGTTTTGAGAGTGATGAACGTCTTGTGGAGATTTCAAAGAGATTGGATCAAGATGAATCCGAGTGCTTATGGCTCAATCAGAAATTGCCTATCTCAGGAGATCGAGTATGGGTGATGATAGATACTTATGCTATAAAGCTATGGAAGATCTTGGAGAACAAATATATGACGAAGAGCGTAGAAAATCGACTTCATATGAAGCGCCAGCTCTGCAGGTTTCAAATGAGGCATGAGATTACAATTGATGAGCATTTGAATAACTTCACAAAACTATTGGTAGATCTTGTGAATTTGGACGAAGAGGTTAGAGATGAAGATAAGGTGCTCCTATTGAATTTGCTCCCTGATGAGTACGAAAACTTCACAATGGCATTTATTCATGGGAAGGAGGTCTTGAATTATGGTGAGGTGACTACTACATTGCTGAATCACGAGTTTTGACATTGGGACAAAGAGTCTGTATAGATGGATTCAGCTGAGTCTTTCATACTCCAATAAGGAAAATCTGAGAAGAAGAAAAATAATAGTAGCAAGCGGGGCAAGTCTCATGGGGCGGTCCGGTCTTGGAAATAATCAGTGTGTCTTCTGCTTGGGAGATTGGTCATTTGAAGAAAGATTGTCCGAAGCTGAAGAAGAAGGAAAAGGGAGTTTCCACTGAGGATAACTTTAGCCTGGAATAACGTGATGAAGATTCAGATGTATCATTATATGCAGTTTCTCAGAGTTTGTATTTAGATAGTTCATGTTGAATTCTTGATATTGGTGCTACCTATCATATTTGTCCTACTATATAATTGTTATGTACTTAAAAGGAGCTTGATAGTAGTGTTGTGACCATATGAAAAGTTAGGCTTGTCATGCAATTGGTATATGGAGTATCTTCATCAAAATGTATGATGTTACTATGAGAGAACTTACTGGCGTGAGACATGTTCCAGATATTCAAAATAATTTGCTATCTATTGGGACTTTAGAGACCAAGAGCTACAAGATAGTAATTGAGGCAAGAGTTCTAAAAATATATCATGGAGCACTGGTTTATCGAAAAGGAGTTCGACACAACAACCTTTACTAACTTCAGGGAAGAATAATGATTAGATCGGTTGCTATTGTTGAAGATTCTTTTGATGCCATTGCATTGTGGCATATGCAACTAGCTCATGCCAGAGAGGCTTCTCTTATGGCTTTGGTGAAGCAAGAATTGATTAAAGGAGTGAGCACCTACAAGCTCTATCTTTATGAACACTGTGTTTATGGCAAGAAGACTTGTGTATCCTTTGGTACTTTGATATCGCCATCCACAATATAAAGGATATCCTGGAGTATGTTCACACAGATGTTTGGTGCCAGACGAAGACAACATCATTCGAAGGACATCAATACTTTGTCTTTTTTATTGATGATTACTCCAAATAAATTTGGGTGTACACCAAGAGGCGCGAGCAAAAAACTGGAGATTTTTATGATTTGGAAGAAGTGGATTGAGACTCAGACTGACAAAAGGATTCAATATATTAAATAATATAATAAGGACGAATACACTTCGGATGCATTCTTATAGGAGTGCCGAAGATCTGAGATTAAGCATCTCTTTACTGTTAGAGAGACACCACAACAAAATAGGATCGTATAGAGGATAAATCAAACTTTGGTGAAGAAAGTTTGATGTATGTTATCCAATGCTAAATTAGATAGAGTTTATTAGGCTGAGACAATAGACTATGGCTATCACTTGGTGAACCGTCTGCTTTCTATAGCTATTGGAAAAAAAATCCCAAAGGAGATGCGGTTAGGGCATCATGCTAGAGATTATGACCACTTGAGAGTATTTGAGTGTCCAGCTTAATATCATGTTCAAAATGATAAATTGAAACCACGAGCAAAGAAGTTGATCTTTATAAGCTTTAGGCATGGAGTCAAGAGATCCAAACTCTATGATCCCGTAGAGAAGAAGATTGATAATTATTAGCAAGGATGTTATTTTTGATGAGGAGAGCAAGTTGAAACCTCAAAACTCAAAGCAGGTGGAGAGTTCTATTGGGATCACAGATGCACTATGAAAGTTTGAGTTTGATGCAATTGAAAAGTTGGAGTTTGTTTTTTTTTTTTTTTTTTGGCTTCTTGAAAATTTTATGGCACAAACTTATAATTTTGAAGGCAAACTTGTTCCATGGATGTCAATGTGGACCACCCCTTAAAGACATGAATCAAGTTAAATATTTTTAAATCATAAATTATGTCTTTATTGAAGTTAGTATGACGATTGGAGTGAAAATTGCTAAATAGTTTTACTTCAAACTCTTTGAAATTTATTAAAATTGACCATAAAGACTATTAGCTCCAACTTCTATTTTCAAGCTTGGCCATCGGGTGTGTGAGCGCAAAAAAGGAAAATTTTCAGAAGTTTTTTAACTCTTAAAAAAACCCAAATTTGCTACAAAAATTTTGAAAAATTAAAAAATTCTAAAAAAATATTTCGATTACTCCTCCCTCTTAGATCTATAAACACCTCCCACTAGGGCAAGAAAAAGAGGTTTGGATCTCCAAAATTAGCTACAATTTTCTCCAAAATAAGGGAAAACTTGTACAGTATTAATTTAATCATTGAAGTTGCTCTAAGCTTGTGTACCTATGACGATGCTTCAACCTCACTTAAAATAGAGGTTGATTATCCTCATCAAACAGATAAGGCTTAGAGGAATGCTTTGTTTGGGATGGCTTTATTTCTGCTTCTTAAAGTAACTTCTTGATACAAAAATTTCAAGAAGCCAAATCTTTTTTTTTTGGCTCATTTTGAGGAACTTTTATTACATCCAGTGAACGTACGCTCCTCTACGTTCGGTTTTAGACCAAAACAGCGGAATACCGAGTTTTTTCAAAAAACTCGGTACAACTCGGTACTCGGTACTCGGTATTGCGCTTTTTTTGTTCAGAACCGAACGTAGAGGAGCGTACGTTCACTGGATAAAATAAAAGTTCCATTTTGAGGCTCTGATTTCTTCTCGTAGAAAGATGATCGATTGCCCTTTAAATTTGGTAAAAAAGAAAGCATAGAGGACTGCATGATAGATAATAATCGACAAAGTGATACATGTCCAAATGAAAATATATTCTATCAAAAATTCAGAAAACATTCTTATTATTATAACTCTATTTTTCAAGCAATTTTGTAATTCTTACTAAACTTTCCATCCTTAATACTGTTTTATTGATCCAATTTTTTGGACAATGTATCACTTGTATATGCATGTTTCACTGAAAGATTTTGGATGTCCTTATGCTAAAATTATGATGTTTTCATCTTCGATAAATTCTTACGATCATGTTTGTCAGTCGTAAAAAAAATTTGATTTTTTTTTTTTTTTTTTTTTTTTTTTTTTTTTTTTTTTTTTTTTTTTATGGATGTAGATAACATCTCTAAGGCTACCTTCATGAATTTTTCATGCAAAAAAGATAATCATTTGGAAAGGCAGAGAATTCATAAACAAAATTTTTATAAATTTGTCATTTTACTTGTTGTAGACTTAAAGAATTTCTTGTGACTTGTATGCTATTTAAAATCAGCTGAAATTTTTTATGAATTCTTCCATTGATGTGTGTATACACTTCACCAAAAAAATTGCTTCAAGTATTTTTTTTTCTTAAAAAAAAAAAATTGAATGATCATTGATTAGTGATTCATATATTGCGTAGTTGTTCTACGAAAAAATACTGGAGTAATAAACTAATAAAATTTCTCTGTTTTTTTTTTAGTATTGTTGGAAGGAAAACTCCTTGATAATATGTTCATATGATTTATTCTAAAAGAAACCAAACACTTCATGGTAGTTAGCCCCCAATAATATTAAAGTTCATGGCTTATTGTCAGAGGCACATGGTAGCACTTGGGTCTTTAGATAGTATCCCTTTATGTAAGAAGAACAAGCTTGATCCAAGAGGGCTCTTGTGACTCATTAATGGATTATTTAAAATCAGCTGAAATTTTTTATGAATTTCTTATGACAAGAAACCAAACACTTCATGGTAGTTAGCCCCCAATAATATTAAAGTTCATGGCTTATTGTCAGAGGCACATGGTAGCACTTGGGTCTTTAGATAATATCCCTTTATGTAAGAAGAACAAGCTTGATCCAAGAGGGCTCTTGTGACTCATTAATGGATTATATCACTCAATGATCTAAGAGGAGTTAGCATGAAGAGATAATCTACATGGTATTCTTCTCCCAAATCTAATGTGTCTTAATGTGAGCAAGAATTTACTCTACCAAGCTACAATATTATGCCAATTAAGGATTATAGGATTTGAAATCCCACATGACTTGAAAAGCTAAAAGCTAAAAGTCTGTTTGAACCATCAAAATTTGAAATGCACATTCAATATCTAATCTTAGCCTTGCAATAATGATGTTATTGAATGCAAGGAACTTTTGGCCTAGTCCATATTTTAAGGCTTGATTTAATAATGTTAGAATTAAGTGATTTTGAGCTGGTTGGATTCGTCTCGATAGACACATATTTAGACTATAAGCATATAAGATTTGAAAATTGTTTGATCCTCTAATTAATATTATATAGTTTTCAGCTACATTTCAACTACATGATTAAGACTCACTTGGAGCCAAATCATCTCACTTTTGGTGTATTGGCCTTGTTTGATTAAGATATTCCTTCTACTCACAAGTTTCCTTAAACCAAATTTCATATGTTCTTAAATATAATTAAAAAAAAAAAAACTTTTTATTTCAAATATGCGTTGAGATTCATTCTTTATCAAGTGAATTTTATGACGTGTGTGTGCGTGCATGTGTATAATATTAAGGTTTTACGCCTAAATTATCCCCTAAATTTTAAGTAAACTCTTTCACCCATTCTCAATTAGAATCCTCATTCCACCATTAATTATTAGTCCCATAAGTAATCTTTCCTTAGAAATATTTTTAATATGTTACTAGAAAATTTATCCAATCAAGAATGAATCTTGAAGAAATTCTTACATCTAAGACCATCCAAATATTTGAATCATAAATTACATAACTAACTTAAGGTCATCCAAACTCTATTTTCGGCCTACTTCTTGTCGAAATGAATATTTTGATGAGATAAGCCCAATAATATAATGAACTCATTGATTTGAGTTCAAAAAAGATCTAAATTAACCACCTAGAAGTATAACTAGACACTTCACAAGGCCATTTGAGAAGCCAAATGACCATTGATTCATATATACTTATAGTCATAACAAGAAATCATAATCGTACTTAAGATAAGTAATATGCAAATCTCTAACAATAATGCCACCATAAGCTCTGGTAGAGTTTTGAAAATCCAAGAGTACTGCAAGTATTCATGATGATACAACCTTTGATAGTCTTATTACGTTGTTTGTCTTCCTATATATTATTCTAAGGGCATCTCCAACCGAACTGCAACCGCTTGAATGGCGTCCCTGGCTAGCTCCAGCCAACCGCAAATTTCCCGCTATTTGGCTGCGGGTGAACAGTGGGACGCCAATATTGGCGTTGCACTGTTCATCTCCGTCATTTTTTACCTCTCTATCGAACTTGGCGCGGGAAAGAAGAGAGGACCATTACCTGCAAAAGTGTGAAAAGTGGAGTTCAATTGGAGAGATGAATCGCGACATTTTGTAGTTTCGCGACATTTTAGAATGAAAAATGAGATTTTCGGTTGTAGATGCTCTAAGTCAATCTTTTTTTTTTTTTTTTTTTCTAAGTCAATATTTATTTTGCAACAATTTAGTTCATAAAAATTCTTGAATGTGTAGCTTTAGCTGATAAGAATACTTTTGATGAAACATACTGAATAGTTAAAAATTGTAGTAGTATAGAAATTTAAAATAGTTAGCATTCACTTATAAACTTATATTTTAAATTGTAACAAGCTTGTCTAAAAATAAATCAAGAGCAATATTATCCCCCCTTTGACCCACAATCACGAACATGTGGTATCAAAGTTGATGATTTGGCTCATCTCAGGCGATTTATATGATTTATGTGAAAGTTTAATGGATGGTTGTGAAACTAATTGAACTACGAAATGACACATCAAGAAAGGGGTGAATTAATATTTTAAAAATCTTTTTAAAAACTTCTTATAATAAACAACCAAACTTAGTTTTAAAGTGGAAGGAAAATTATAACTTAAGACAATCACAAAATATTTTGGTTTTTGTTTTATAGAAAAACAAATAACATTTTTTGTTATGTTCAATTTTCTGATTTGTATTCCTTTTTTTTTTAGAATAAATTCAAACTAACTAAGATGATTTTCTTGTTACAACAATAATCAAGGCTAAACCAAATTGTTGAAAGTAAAAGCGCAAGAAAGTAAATCACCGAAAATAAAGTGCAAAAAGAAAAAGAAAATGCTAATAAGATTTTTATAGTGATTCAGTCAATTTGATCTATGCCCACTCTCTGAAGTCCTCATCTTCAGGCATTGCACTAAACACTTGTAAATCTCTTTCATCCCCCCAAGACTAAGCGGAGAAACTCTTACAAAATCACTTTTAACTCTTTGGAGCAGATGAGAACTGAAATCACTTTCATCCTCCTGATGCGACGGAGTAGTCCAAATTACTTTCACCCTCCTGGTGAGGCGAAGTAGCCTGAATCACTTTCACCTTTATGATGTGATAGAATAGCCAATGGCCCTTTGACACTGAAGTGGTCTTCCCATAGTTACCCTCAAGAAGAACCTATTGCTTCTCCTCTTTTTCAAATCAAATGTAAAACATTTAACCTACATGTTGATCTTATGCTTTTCTAAATAAAATTTTATGGGCTTTTACAAATAAAACAAAACTTAGAGGTCTCATCTGATGAAAATAGAAAGTCAAAATATAATAAATATATTTCTAAATTTTAACACTTGATTTATATAAATTCTAAAATAACTTGGTCAATTAAAGTTTATAAGAAAATATTAAGAAAATTTTAATTCAAGCTTTAGGTTTTATGTCAATAAAGTCTACTAGAAGTCTAGAAGTATTAAAGTTGCAATTTAAATAAAATTTAAATGAGTAAAATAAAGAAATATCTATTGTTATCCTATGTAATTTGGAAATAAAATCGAAAGGTTCATACTCAAATTGTGATGATATGTTGCAAACATTAATTACGTAAGTCTTAACAACTCCACAAGTAGCATTAGATCAAAGGATTCGATTTAGATAGTCTTAACAACTTCATTATAGTTTGAGCAAGGTCCAAATATGGGCGACTCCACATGATTTGGTGAGATATTGATTCATTACATTCAATATTAACAAACTTCAATGAGTGACGACCAAGCTTGAGGACTCTTTCAATTAGGGAATTGCCGAGTCATTACAGGCTGAGGCAGACTTGTGCTTATGTGAGGGTGGGCTCAAAATTTTAATAAAATAGTTTAAGGGTATTTTAGTTATTTCCCCACCTGTAATCCTAGTTTGCCCAGCAAAGGGAAAATTAGACATAAATTTTTCGACCCGCAGTCGCAAACGTTCACCAGCACCTGCCAACTGTGTCCAGCGTCAATGCAGGAATTATTATTGAGTTTGAACGATTAGAGCCGCAGTCGCAAAACTTATTCGGTTGTTCCCTAGCGCCTGCAATATGTCCCCAAATACAAGCCTCCAATCAATTGCAATCTGATTTATTGAGAAAGCCAATAAAACCGAGGTTTGGCATTTAACAACACCATTTTCTTGTTTAGTATTCTATTTTAACTTGTAATAAGTTTCAATTTATCTATCATAAAAGTACAATAATTTGCTTTGAATTATGCCCTCATTTTTTTTTTTTTTTAAATATTTGTCCATTTATATGAAAAATTTGCTCATCCTAAAATGAAGGAATGGTTCCGCCCCTACAAATCACAGTAGAGATTGAAAAATAGTCTCGAATCATGAGTAAAAACAAGAGTTTCAGTTCTTAATAAACTAATAGTAGGCTCTTATCCATAGTTTAAGCTTCTAATTTAAGCAAAAGCTGTTACACTTACTGAAATAATACAAGTTGTAAATCCTATTTCTGGTGGCGAAGTTCAAAATACTAACATACCGTTGAAATAAAAGTCCATTAGTTCTTTAGACAAATGCGAAAGATTGTTTAAGAACCTGATTCTTTAAGGTCTTTCTTAGAAAGTCGCCTAAGAGAAGCAGATTGCCTTCTCCATTGATGGACTGGGACCTAAAAGAAGGAAAATTATGCAAACTTTCAGTTGGAAATATCCAAGGATTAAAGCTTCATTTGGGACGGCTTTCTCACTGCTTCTTAAAGCAGCTTTTTAGTTCAAAAAATTTATTTTTTGAACTAAAAAGCTGCTTTAAGAAGCAGTAAAAAAGCCGCCCCAAATAAAACCTAAAAGAATGTAAAGCTAAAAAGAACACAATGTACCGCTGGAAAACCAGCATAGTCTCCAGGTTCTCCGACGTCCTTAGTCACACCACTATTTGCTGCCAGCCGGACCTGCCAACAAAACCAAAACAACTCGTCAGTGGCCCATCGAATCTATGATTGTTATAAAAGAGTATTCTAATAACTATTTGCAGTACCGTAGCTAACTATAAAGAAGAGTATATTAATTATTGAATCAACTTTGAAAGAATTCGGCAGAATCTGGAACACCGAGCTAAGAAAAGCAAGAACATCGCAGCTGAAGTATTTTGAATGATATAAATTTACAATCACATTCACCAGAGCCCAGTGAATCAAAGTCAATTTAGATAAAAATAATTGAACGAGGAAAAAGTTACCCAAGATTATAATGGAAAGTATTTTAACTTTGCCGATTTTTTTCTGGAGTTATTAGAACTCCAAATCACAATTGATATAGTTGTTGGAAGAATTGATTGTTATCAAAGCTGTAGGATTTGATTGAGAGTTGGGTAGAATGGGTAGATTAAGGTGCATTAATTTGCATACATAATTGAATAATATGCGATAGAATGAACTGCATGATTCTATGATTTTGATGAGTTTTGATTTTGATTTTATTTGAGTTTTGATTATACGAATTTGGTTTATATCGATTTTATGCCCGAATCTTTAAGGGAAATGTCGGGGACGACATTTTCTTAAGGTGGGTAGATTGTAATAGCCCGTATTTTAACTTTGCCAATTTTTTTTAGAGTAATTATAACTCCAAATCATAATTGATACCTTACACTCACATCCGGTCCACAAAGAGTTATCAAGAACCATCCCTCTATCCAGAACCATCATAGATATTATTAATAACAAGGCACCCAAAAGTATCATCAACAAATCACTCAAAAGAAACGAGCGCTCCCAAAAAGAATACATCAAAAGCAGTAATCAACAGTGATAGTTGATCAAGGAACTCATCTGCTACACAATCATCAACAAAAATTAGTTCAACTACCCTCACAATTATAGCCTAGCCTCGACTCATATCGATTTTTAAGGTCAACTTTTGGATGCTAGGAATACAATTTTGCAATTAATCTGAGAAATTTAGACACTTACTCTAGCTTATAAGACCAAACTCCCCTCTCTCTCTCTCTCTCTCACCTTCTTCCAGTCAGCCCACCTCTGTCGCTGTCCACAGCCTCCAATCAACGAAACAACACCTTCTTCCAGTCAGCCTGCCTTCCAGCGCACTTCTTCCGCAAGAATTCTGGACATAGCTCTTCGGTTCTGCCACCTTCAAGAACAGCAACTATCCACCTATTCTAGCTGCAGTTTCAGTTTTAGCCAAGAACCAACTTCTTGCAGCTATTTTGCATTCCAATTCCATCATCAAACTGTTACTAACAATCAACATTGTTGATCTTCATTGTTTTTCCATTGACCTAGTTCAGTCCATTACTGCTATTCGGCGGCCACAATCGGGTTCTCTATTTTTCTTTTAGTTATTATTTCTTTTCTTGTTCCGTCTCCAATTTCTTGTTCTGTTATTTTTTCCTCTCTTTTCCCAATTGCAGGGTTTGGAAAAATTATTTTGTCTTTCCCTCCAAATTCATAAAAATGAAAACACGGATCTCGCCGAAGCACTGAGCAACACGCAAACAAATCTAAGAATTACAATTTTCGGAAATCCAAAAATCACCTAACAAGCTGATCTCCAATTTGCATCCATTGGAACGACTCTCCAACAATTGAATGCTTTCATGTACTCTGTGAACAAATGCCTTGACTCATATGTATTGACTGACCACATCCTTCACCCCATCAAGATTATCGATCTTCACCTGGCATTCTTCTCATCACCCATCTCCACTTATGAAATTTTCTTTTTCTTAAAACAATGAAAATTGAACTTCCTCATATTAATGGAATGGATATAGAAACTTGAATATTTAAGGAACAAGAATAATTTGATTTGCCTAATACCCCCGAATGCCATCTTGTTCACATTGCGTCTTTTCACTTAGAAGGCCCAACAACTACTTGATACCAATGACTACGTATGAAATACTAATCATTCTCTTGGCCCTACTTTATCATTTCCTTACAACAACACTTTAGAATCTCCATGTACGAAGATTTACATGGGAATATTCCTAAACTAACTCAATAAAGTTCAGTCCTAGAATACCAAACTGCTTTTGAAAATCTAGCTTTTAAAATCCCTAATTTGTCTGAATCCTCACTAATTAGTTATTTCATATCAGACCTTAAACAAGAAATCTGACTTGAAATTCATTTTGTCTGACCTACTTCCCTCTTAGATATTATGAAATTAACACGTCGTAATGAAACAAAAAATTTAATATTTTTTTCTATTCATTTTTCCTCTCACCGAAAATCATACACTCTTCCATTCAATAAGAATAAAAGCTCAAAATAGTCACTCGACTATTGATAAATGTCCAATTCAGTCCAATAGTTTTATATTGCTCCAATTTAGTTCATAAACTATTAAAAATTGAGTCAATTTAGTTTCAAAGCCTAAAATAAATTTATACCCTTCATATTTAACTTTAGTGTTAACTTTAACTTTTATTTTATGCTTTGAGTCTAAATTTGTTCAATTTTAAACAGTTGAAGGATTAAATTGGATCAATACAAAACTCTGTGACTAAATTGGACATTTATCAATAGCCGGGGGACAATTTTGGGCTTTTACTCCACTCAAAAATACTATTGATTATGCACATACTAGCATCAATTCAACCAATTCCTCACCTCGCATTTCTTGACTCCCTCTTCCCTCTTGTACCCCAACTATCTCTAAGCCTCCAAATCTTCAAATCCGAAAACTGTTACCAGCCGACATTTAATTTCGCCACGAAAAAGGTCTATGTTTTAACTGTGATGCTAAATTTGATCCCCAACATCGTTGCCCAAATAAATTCTATCTCCTACTCGGCACCGATGACTCGGACTTAGTGCATGACTCTTTTCTCTCTTCTATCAATGAGGAAAATTCATATCTCAACCCAAAATCAATCTTAATGCTTTAGCGGATAGTTCAACCCTCGTCCTTTCCAATTAATCGGCTCTATTAATAATCATAATGTGCACCTATTAATTGATAATGGTAGTACTTATAATTTCATTGAAGAACATCTTACCACCAAATTATCTCTTCATCCTCAACCTATTAAACAATTTAATGTTTTTGCGGGCAATGACAACCTATTATCTTGTAATTCTAAATATCTACAAGTAAATATTCTTATTCAAGGCTATCAGGTGTGTCTAGATATCTTTGTTCTATCCATTCATGGGATTGATATCGTTCTTGGCATGTAATGGCTACAATCTTTAGGATCGATTTTATCCAATTTTTAAAACTTTACCATGCAATTTCATAATCAAAATACTCAGATTACTCTAACAGGTAAACCACAACTACAACATGATCCTATCTCCTTTAACAGGTGCAATTATTTCCCATTCACCCACCATTCAAATATTCACTATCCAATCATCGCAGCATAGATCCAGTTTCTTTCTCCCCTTCCAACCAATTAACTGACTAACTTGGTAAACTCACAACTCCATTACCCCTTTCCATATCTCTACTCTCCTCAAACAATTTCAACATTTATTTCAACTTCCATCAGGCCTACCACCACCTCGCACTATTGATCATCGTATTCATTTTCCTTCATTTTCTAAACCTGTTAACATCCGGCCTTATCGTTACCCACATTTCCAAAAAGATATAATGGAACAATTGGTCTACGAAATGCTTCATGACAACATTATTCATCATAGTCATAGCCTTTTTTCTAGCCAAGTTTTACTTGTTAAAAAACGGGATGGCACTTGGCATTTTCGCGTTAATTATGGAGCCATTAATGCTCTTACTATTAAAGATAAATTCTCTATCCCTACCATAGACGAACTTCATGTAGCTACTATATTTACTAAACTTGATCTACGTTCAAGCTATCATCAAGTTCGAATGCATCCTCATGAAATTCATAAAACCGCCTTTCAAACTCATGAGGGACATTATGAATTTCTTATTATGCCTTTTAGGCTAACTAATGATCCGTCGACATTTCAAGCTTTAACGAATCAAAATTTTTGTTTATTCCTCAAATTCATTATAAGCTTCTTTGATGACATCTTGATATATAGCTCCACCCTCCAACTCCATGTTGATCATCTTACTCTAGTTTTTCAATGCTTACAAACACATCACCTTTTTCTAAAACTTGGGTGCGACCATTCTAGCACCAGTGCACCGGATCCATCAGAACTCCGCAGTTAAGCGTGCTTGGGCGAGAGTAGTATTAGGATGGGTGACCTCCGGGAAGTCCTCGGTAATTGGTATGATACCAATTTGATAGGAAACCCTTGTCAAAATCACAATAAACTTGACTGAATTTGAATTTCAGTAATGTGCAAAATGGGAAATAAGAACGTAGGGAAAACACAAGCGAGAAACGATTATATTGATAGTAGATGAAAGAAAACACATAAGATACAATAGATCCTCACTTGGAGAGCAGGATCCAGCTCTCCCAATCTCTAGCCAACGGCAAAAGCCCAAAACACCCTAAGAATACTCTCAAATTCAGCAAACAAGACCTTACCCTAATCCTAGAAAAAACACCCTACTTAAAGCATACAAAAATATCCCAAATCCCCAAATAGCCCTTTGCATTTGAATTCTTTCCCTCCTAGCAGTCGTCCCCCTTGATTGGTGGAACCATATCCGCCTAAAACAGGCGGAAGCCGGACCCGATCTGCCTAAACATGCGGATATGTTCCGCCTCCAAATAGCCGATCTAGGTTAGACCGGCTGAACCGGTCTAACAAAGTATTCGGTAAACAACTAACTAGAAATGTTCGACATACGGCTCATTATCAATGCTCAATATATAACCTACCAGTAGTACTTGACAACCAACCAACTAATAGTGCTTGACAAAGGTACTCGAGCAACAAAACTAGTCCAAAATATTGACTATACAACCGCTACAAAATGTAGTTCGACTACCCACACGTTAAACTGGTGCATGTATACCTATCTTGAAGGGTTGGACTTGACTCTCACCAATAAATATTGAGTCACTTCTCTAGTGTTGGAAAACAACTTTGTAATCAATGTAGAAAATTTAGACTCTTAATTAGGGATGTAAGGGAGCCGAGACAGCTCATGAGCCGGCTTAAACTCGACTCTTTAACGAGCTCACTAGACGAGCTCATTGAGCCACGAGTTCGAATTCTAACCTATATTCGAGCTTGTATATTATGCAAGCTCGATCTCAAGCTCAAGCTCAACTTAGCTTGAATCGTAAGTTTGTCACGCTGCTTGTTTAAATAAAAATATATATCAAAATTAATTTTAGAATAATATAATAAAATGCATACTAAATATTTCGAATTATTTTCGAGTCAAGCTCGAGCTTTTCAAATGAGCTTGAATAATCAAGCCGAGCTCGAGCCTAATAATTTCGAAAAAGTTGAGTTCAAGCTCAGTAAAAAATTAAATGAGTATAGCTAGATTAGACAAATATTCAACTTTACTCCGCTTGTTTACACCCCTAAAGCTTTAAGACCAAATTCCCAAACTCTCTCTCTCTCTACCTCCCTCTCAACTTGTGCACTCTAACTTGATTGCCTTGATCGGGTTCTTGCTATAAAAATTCCTGTGAGATCTAAGGTCTATACATCAGTTCAGATCAATCAATCCAATCTTGCATCCATAATCTTGGCTCACATCCACAAGATAGAGTCAGATTCCACCAAATAATCTTGGATACACTAATAAAAATGTGATCTCTCTAAGAAAGAATCATAATGCTATACAACAGAAACAAGCAGTACATAGAAATAAGTCAAACCTTTGAAGAAATGGTAACATGGTCCTTCACAGCTACCCGCCCAGCCAAAGTGCAATAATCTCCCATCCTACAATACAGCAAGATAATAAAGAAACTCAGTATTATGCCTGAGAATAAACTCACTTTTCAAATGGCTTCTAACAGCCTCATAAAAGCAAATAGATCATCAACAGAAAAGGGGAAAAAATTTGAACAATACTTACGTAACAGAACCAGCAATACCAACTTGTCCACACAGCATGCAACACTTCCCTATAACAGCATTATGACCTATCTGCAACGAGATCATTAGCGTAAAATATCTAAAATTATAAATTCCCATAATAATTCATACAAAAAAACTCACTTTTTAGGATGAGCATAATCTGGTACATTAATTCATTGAACCTACCTGAACTAAGTTATCTATTTTCGTATAATCTCCTACAACAGTGTCTCTCCAACTACAAGTAAACCCGGAAGCAAAGTCAAGTACAATGTTTAACACTGAAAGCATGCAGTTTGAAGCAATTATTCATTGCTTAGTAAAAATTAATAAACATTCCATCCAAAATTTTCAACCACAAAAAAAAAAAAACACGGTGGAGAGACTACTACTAATGATGAAGATTATATTAACTAAGCATTCAACACAATAGCATGCTAACCTTCCTCTATCAATACATGAATTAGCACCAATCTCTACATGGTCTCCAATCCTGACGTTTAGCATCTGTAAACCCAGAACTTCAGGTATTAGTAATCCAAGGATTATGGGGAATGTGAAGACCATTTGATGTTTTTACATAATTATAAATCATAATGAACATTCATATTAGTTTGGCAACAATAACAGGGTCACAAATTTCAAAAATGCGAGCTTGAAATTTCATTAGTTCTACCAAATATATGAGAGAGACATTAAATATAAATGGAGACAAATGTAATAAATATAGAACTATCAATGTTGAGCATTTGAAACCAAAAGATGATCAAAATTAGGCCAAATACATTAATAATCAAATGTATTTTCAATCCAAAAGTTTAAGAGTATAGGTGAGAGTCAACCATTAACTTTCTAATGTGATAGACTAAACACAAATCCTTACACACTTTAACAATCTTCCACTCACATTAAACCTCTCCACATTGAACATCAACACCCTGGCCCCTCTCAAACAAAAGGTCATCATCATTATCAAGTAGCATACATGAAGAGCCCACTCAACGAAATTGATCTATTATGGGAGTTTCCATTGGGAGCCACAAAATGCTTGATCCCAATCAAACCTTTGGCTCTAATATCACTGGTTAGTGGGTGCGAACCAAAGTGAGGCCAAATATAACATAGGTCATACCTATTTTCAACCCAAATGCTTAAGCCTATAGAGAGGGCTAGCCACTTGGTATTTTATACCATCATATCGTTAAACTATCTACTATAGGACTAAACCCAAAATCTCATGTGCCCTAACAAATAATTTCAGGAAAATATTGCCATTAAAAATTCAGTAACTCATTGATCCATTCGGCTAAAGCTTTAGAAATGGCAGTACGTCATGCAATTTAACTTCAATTAAGAAGTTTTTGCAAGGTCATCAATTGCAACTATCTATATCAAATAGTAACGTTGCATGACAATAATGTATGACAATATAAGCTTCAACTGATGAATAATAATGAAAGGGCTTGTCGGGAAATTTGGTATTTTCAGCTTGTAACGAACCATGTGACATTAAAGTTTCTTGTGGAACGAAGTTAGAAAACATAATGAGTTTAACGTACTACTCATGCATAATTACCTTCAAAAAGGCGCGAAGGGGTGTGTGTATGTGTATATAAATATGAATTTTTCTCCTAAGAGAAAATATATCATTCTCAACCAAATTAGATTTTGATTTTATTAACTTCAAAGCTAGAAAAAATTGTTAATTCTCTTTAAAATCATTAAAACTAATGGTATGGACGATTTAATTTTTTTTGTATCATTTGATCATTAATTGAATGAATCAAAATTTTCAAAATAGATGAAACCTATTGAATGATAAGATAATTGTGATACCATAGCCTATAAACTTTCAAATACCTTAGAATCAAATAAATGGGCTATATATGATGTCTTGCAAGTATTAGATGATTTGGATTGGTAAAATATAAGGGCATATATATATCCTTTCGTAGAAGGGAAGGAGGATAGAAAGGTGAATAAACAAATACTACCCATGGGACAAAATTTCTGCATTATCTGGGAAGGCATTGCCGTTCCTATTGACTACAGACTAAGTAAAGAACCTGCTATTTCATTCTGGAAAAGATTCCATATAACCGTATCTCAGCAACTTAAAATCATCTAAAAGTTCATATAGAAAAAAACAAAATGTAGTGCAAGCAAATATGAAATTTGAGTTCAAAACACCACCAACTTGAGGCTTCTTCGTCATATTTCCCTCCTTGTCAACGAAAAATCCAAAACCTGTGTAAGAAAGCATATGAACTGCCTGAATATAAATTGTAGGTGGCATTCCTAAAAATTGAATAAAACAAATGATCTTAATGAGTGGAAGCAAATCTCCTTGCCTGTAGGCAAAGAGATACATAAAGAATGTTTTTTTTTTTCAATAGATAAAGTCTGTTTTAATAAGGAATGCTAAGTTGGACAATGAAAACTATTGGTTGCTGCTCTAAAAGTGACGCAAATTTTAAGTGTGATGACCATCTTACCAAGGAAACAACTCAAAGCCAAATATTTAATGTAAAAATGATAAGAAAAGGGTATTTTGCATAAAATAAGAGCATTGTTTGGCAGCATTTGCATTCATGTTTGTGTAGAATCATGTTATGTGAGAAGAGGCAGTCAAAATGGAAACAGCTTGAACTAGTTGTTCAATAAGATTCACATAAACTAGAGTTAGCAAAAAGGACAGTAGGACTGACGGAGAGTGTTGTGCAGGCAATGGGTTCAGGGCATTCTCCTTGTTCCATTAGTGGGGAAGTGAGAAGATCTCATGTGAATGCTGCCAAATTTTTACCAAGAGATTTCCTATTGATAGCCAACTCTTATCAACTCAAGTGTTTCAAAGGTGGCAAGCGTTCTGTTCCAATATGTTAGAAATGTTTGGAGAAAGGACATATAGCTAGAGAGTGTAAAAATGTCACTATTTTTACATAGAAGCCATAAATTGGTGCATACATCCAAGTCTTGTCCTTCATTCTCTATAAAATATGTTTGTTCCTAAATATCTTCTCTTCAAGCCATTGAAGAAGATAGTTCTACAATTCTATGGATTTCTTTATGTTTCCCATAATAAAATAAAAAAGCATGATATTTATGAAGCTCTCACTTGACATTGAAACAAAGATTGGGTTTATCATATTATTTCTATCAAATCAGGCTATTTCTCTTTTAATTTCGAATACATTCAAATTCTTGCACCAGTCAGTAATTTTAAGATTATGAAAAAAAGAGGGATAGGAGCATCGGTGGTTCTAAGGAAATTCAAACAAGTTTGGATTGTATTCATGGTTGCTGGAATTGACCATCTCTTCAGTATATATCTCATCTAAAATTGGGAAATTTATTTACATGGACAATCATACTATCTCCAAAGTAGAGGGTTCCTCTAAGAAAGTTGTTTATCAGTTTCCGGAGTTTGAAGATGATGGTATTTCTGGCAAGTTGGAAACCAGATTTATGATCTATTAATCCTGCCATTACTTCTGATAAGTATGTTTCTTTCATTTCAAGTTCGAATATCTCTGAGCTGAAGTTATTTCTAAGGATATTGACCTTGAAAATTTGGCACATGACGCTGGGTGTTTCTGCATTAGAGAAGTAAATGGTCAATCTGTGGTTGCCATTCAGAAGTTCAAGGTGAATTCTGACGTAAATTTTCCTTAATGGCTCCCAATTCTTTTCTTAATTTGTGTCTGCTGATGCTAGCAATGACTAACTTGAGATGAAATATTCTGGAGGCATTCCTACTTATTCCTTGAAGAAGTCAAATACTTCGTTTCTGGATTCTATGTCAGATTCTGCCGGGACTTCCACTGTTGCTCCAGTTCCTTTCACATTGGGAAAACTTTCGTTCTGCTCCAGCCCTAACAACCTGGCTTCTAAAAATTTTAGTTCTGTAAATATTTTGCATGCCCGCGAAGTTAGGAAGCCATTTATTGTGGCTGCAGCGGGGAATATGTTAAACCGGTCTATACTGAACCGGTCCAGCCGGCCCAAAGCAAGGGGCCAGCTCAAGTATACAGGAGGCGGACCAAGCAGGTCCGCCCCCTAGGGATTGCCGCCCAAGGAAATTGTGGACCCCACTAGGAAATCCATTAAGGAAGGAGAGGGCAGCTAGGGTTGGAGGAAATTTTGACTTGTATGTTTGAATTTATTTATTTATTTATTTTTAGTATGTTTGAATTTATGCTTTAAATAGGAAGAGAAAATAAGGGTTAGGATTATCTGATAATTTGTGACTGTTTTGGTGTCTTTGGTGCTTGGCGTCTTGGGCTCTAATAGTGTCTAGGGATTGGGAGAGATAGATCTTTCTCTCGAATTGAGGATCAGCTGTATCTTGGTATTTTTTCCGTTCTATTTTATTCTTACAATAAAATTACAGTTTTCCTGGTTTTCATTGGAGTTTGGAGGAAAATTCTCACTATTTTTTTCCAAGATTGTTAGGTTTACTAGAAATCTTCAACTACTTCCTATCAAATATGTATCAGAGCAGATTTTAGGATTGTTTTTGGGCTTTTTCTATGAAAACCATAGGCTGTTTTTTGGCTGGAAGAGGGTTTGTTTGCTGTTTTTTTGGGGCAAGATCCTGATTTTTTAGTCTACAAAGATTCAGGTATTGATAGCGGCCAAGAAAGTGGATGCGTTGGAGGAATGCCTTGAAGGGGAGATGAGTCAACTGAAGACAACGGTGGAGGATAGAATATCAGCCATGGAAGGCCAAGTTTCAGATCTTCACGAGATGGTGAAGAAGATATTGGAAAATCAAAATCAAACGGCGACATCAAAGGCAAGGTGGGTAGAGAGAAATACGAATTCTGAAATTCGTAGAAGGGAAAACGATGTGGAGGTCATTGATGAGAGAGTTGGAAGGTATAGAGAAAGGCGTGGTTATGCAGGGCAAGAGCCAAGGGGCGCTGATTGGGAAAGAAAAAAGGGGGATTATAGTAGAAGGGGTGCTGATTTTGAAGGGAGAAGAGGAGAAAGTGAAGAGGGGTATGAGTATGAGCGTGGAAAGGAGGATCGAGACACTTGGGGAGAACCAAACACTTGGGAAAGGGGAAATTATGGAGGATTTAGGAGAAATGGGGGATATCTGAAGGTACGGAAGCTGAAGATGTCAATTTTTAAGGGGATGATGTACATGGGTGGATCTACAAGATGGAAAGGTATTTCGCCGTCAATGGGTTGACAGAGGAGGAAAAATTGACGGCAGCTGGCTTATGCTTGGAAGGGAAGGCGTTTTCTTAGTATTAGTGGACAAACATGGGAAGGCCCATACGGAGTTGGAGGAAGTTCAAGGAATGCTTATTGGAATGTTTCCGAAGCAACAGGGGATGAGACTTCTACGAGTAGTTCTTTGCACTAGTGCAGGAATGTTCAATGGCATATTATCGCAAGAGATTTAAGTACCTGGCAAATCGATTTGATCTGTGTCTTATATTTTCAATAATTGATACGTCACATTTCCATGTGTGTTTGTGCATCATAGATTTTAGTTGTGCCACCACAAGTGAACCAATGTTAGCTATAAGATTCAAAAGATAATGAATTAAAAGTAGAGAAGAAAACCTATAACTCAGGTATTGATAGCCAATGTCATATGTGTCATCAGTGATGTATATGACAATAAAATAAGATGTATAAAACCAATGACTGGGAAAGACACATGTAATGGGTACCATTATTACAGAGAAATCGTAAGCTATACTACAATTTTTTTTAAAAAAAATAATGGTGATAACATATGCATATGCATTTTAGCTGGAAGAATAAGGCAGATACAAAAATAATAATATGGAATAATTGTGAAAAGTAATGAGAGAATGCTTAGCTCTTACCATCTTGGCCAATACAAGAACCATTATGGATAACACATGACATTCCCACCGAGCAATTGCTTAGGACAGCGTTATACCTGAATATAGCAGGGATTTGTTAAAATTAGAATAAAAGTTCAATGGATCAAAAACAAATTTCTGAACAATGACCGAGTGAAATGCTTCATTGTGATTCTATGTCCATTAAGATAGCATAAATATGGCATTCATGAACAAAAAATAGAAAGTCATTACACAAGCTTGATAAGTCTGAAAAGAGAAGCCAAATAGACAGTTGTCGTCACACTACATCCATTGTAGATTACATCGAATGTAGTCCTATAGAGAACTGGTACTGAGCTAAGTTCATCGAACAAGAATGGAGAATCTAAACAAGCTTGGTGAGAGCTGTAAAAATAGCTCCTTCCCAAGGGAAGATTAGAGTCATCCATGCAGCAGCTTAAAAACAAGACCCAAAAAGAAATTTCACCCCCGAAATTTGATGCAGCCAACAGGAACAAGAAGTGAACTTATATTGACAAGTACTTGATAGTCGAATGTCACAATCAAAGACCAATCTAACATAGGTTGATATAGCACTGCCACTAGTTGAACGAGAGTGACCGACTACTTGCAATCAGAGGATACTAAAGAGACTATCCAGAGTTGGCTGCTCTATACCAAGTTTTCAATTACTACTACGCAACTTGAGGTGGATAAAGTGACCGCCAGAGACTTTTCTTAACAGACTAAGACTAGCTCAATAGAAACTCATCCAATTTTATTTATCATCAAAACCAAGTACAAAGACTTAAAGAAACACCTAGTATGACCAGATGGACTACACCTAGTTAGACATAGATGTTCAAAAAGATAACAACCATAGCCTAATTGTATGAAAGATCCATGAGGCTCTACATGGCTCAAAGTACATGTACAAACTTTCCTATACCATTACTTGACCATGAAAAAAGCCAAACAACATCCTAAGAAAAACCCAAACCAAGTATCCTAAAACAAACTCTAAGTAGCAAACTAGGCAAGCCAAGGACAACCAGGTGTTCGCACCAATTAATGGGCACCGTGGTCCGACCTACCTCTCTATGAAATCTCGAATCACCAGGCCCATTTCAAACAGAAATTGAGAAATGTCACAAGTTAAATAAGATAAGGGTTAACAAGGGGAAATGTAGTACCTCCTTATTAATTTAACTAGGCTCCCTCCAAACAGAAAAAGAAAAATACCCTTTGTATAGAAAATGCCACTTATAATGCCATAAGCATTCCAATACCATCAAAGCATGCCCCAAGCGTCAGGAGGCAAATCATATAAAAGATCAAATAAGATCTACGTACAACCCTTATCCATGCAAAACAATAAAAAAAGAAGATCTTAAAATAGTAAATCATGTGTTTCAAAAGTAGCACAATGTAGACACCTGTCAAAGATTTAGAGCCAAGATTGGATCCTTCTCTGAGAAGAAAGACATCTTAAATAATGTATACGAAGATGTAGCCTTGAGGGGTGAAATATGATGGAGATTGATTCCATAATAAATGAGTCCCTAACCCTTGTTCATAAGTTCATAAGAAACAGCCCTTAAATTGTGCAACTCAAACCAATATACAAAGTCAATTTCTCACTCTCCCTATCTAAATCCTCTTCCATGCTTCAAAACTTAAATAATTTGAGTACACCATTGTCTTTTCCAACCAACCACATTTGTTGTTCACTCTATTTCAAAAAGAGGTGACAACAACTTCTTATCTTGCAGTTATAAGGAAAAAGGGAAACTGGTGAGCAAGAAGAGATAGGAGAACCCTCAATCAAAAAAGAAGGGTTTCTTCAAAAGGGTATAACTAAAAATACATCATAACTTGAGACCAATTCAAAGAGTTAAACTCAAAGCTCAATGTCATGATAAGAATGGTAGCAACCTAGGGTGTCGTTATAGTGCAACTCAAAAGGGTCAAGCAGGTGATCCTTTAGGGACCACCACTACACAAGATCAAGCAACTTGATTTCATGGTCAAACATCATCGGCGGACAACATCATTTTGGTAAATCCCTCATCATCTTTTGAAAATTGGTCACGACATAACATCAACACACAATCCAAGAAAATACCCTCATAAAACTACATTTATCTGATGCGGTCCTTAATCAAATACAATGTGGGAATCATTGATCTTGGGCAATCCAATACAGATCCAATGTGTAATGTAGCAAAAATTGAATCCAATTGAGTCAAACAAGAATAAAATACATCACGCCAATCAATTTTTTAATTGCATTAAATGAATTTTTTACATAAAATTATGGATTTATAAAACTTATCGTTAGCAAGACAATAACAAACCCTTTTTCTTTTTATCTTGCAAAAATGCAAAGGAAATTTAGATGAAGCACTCAGTAGTTACACAAAAAGCTATAACCATCAAAAGCAAAAATTAGAGAAAAAATATGCTTTGCAAACAGAAAGAACAGTTAAAAAAAGAAAAGAAACTTCACAGTTAGAGAAGAAAACATACATTATATTAGTTGATTGCCCAATTGAGACAGAAGGCCCTACTATGGAACCAGATCCAATATGCACATCGGCTCCAATAACAGCTTTCTGATGTACTATTGCGCCGACTTCTATAAACACACTAGGATCAACACTTGCAGTCCTGTGAAAAAGGCCTCCACCGTTATGCCATTCCGCAAACTCTAACGAGCCTCTGGCAGTTTGCTCTGATTGCATAAAAATCAAACCATTCCATCAGTGAATATAAGAAAAAAAGGTTGAACAGTTGCACAATCTCGCTGGAATACTGTAATACAATTGCAACTTCTACTTTTAAGGAAATGTTACGGAAATAGTCTTAGATGTACTAACCAGGGCCAGTGGGTTTGGAATGCAAAATACTACTTCTGCTCCCAGAGGGCTCAAGAAGATGCTGAGAGAATGCCCTCTTCGATAGGCAAAACAGGGAAGAGAAAGCACGTCTACCAGTAAATGACATATCCACTGGATTGTGGAAATACAGGGGAAAAAATCGCACTTTTTTGTTTGTTTGTTTGAGAATATACGTATGAGAAATGCTTCACTTGGGGATTGGAAGAGTTCGATATCTCCAATTGTAAGATTGAAGCGTATGGTGCGAGGATTTACGAGATCAAGCTGGAATCGGACGGCACGAGCGGACACCAAATTTCCTGGTCGGAAAGCCGTTTGGCTGGCGTAGAAAGTGGTTACCTACCGGCCAAGATCGGCGATGCAGAAAGCGCGGAAAGTGGAAAGCCGATGGCGCCGAAGTCTCGGACTCGATGGCTTGATTTTTCGTAAACTAGACCGGTTCCAGGTGATTGTAATTTTATAATGGTTCAAATTGTAAAAATATGAATTTAAAAATTAATAATATAATTTTTTCATAAATAATGCTAATTTCATAGCAAATCTAATTCCAAGCTCATTCTAATACACTATCTATGATGACTCGTTAAAATAATATTTTCTTAATTGGCTTGGACCGGTCCGAGTAATTTTACAATATTCAAATTATAAAAAAAATGAATTTAAAAATTATTAAATTTATTTTAAAACTAATAATAAAATTTTTTTCAATGCTAAGTTGAAGTTCATAGCAAATCTAATTTTCAGCTCATTCTAATACGATATCTATCAATACTCCTTGATACATCGGCAAAAAATTATCTTGATCGGGCACGGATTTCGATGCAAAATGGAGTCTGAAACTTCAAAAATTAAATCTGGGAGCTCCCGAACTCCGATTTCAACGAGCTTATAGTCAAACTGAGCGTCTCGGAAATACGAACCCAATGACACCAATTCAACTCGATCCGAGCCCAAATGAGTCTAAATCGAAAACTCGAAGTGTTGTTGGAAGGTTCGAATAACAATTTGAGTTACCAAACAGTCTTCGATTTTAACGAGCTTATACTCGAATCAAACGGCTCGACGAGAAGAATCCAACGAGCCCAAGATCACCGAATTCCGAAATCACTAAGGCCTCCAAATGCCTGACGAAGGGTCCATGATCAAGGGGTTCAATATCGGCCGTCCATCCAACCACTCCCCATTTACCCTTGATCTCTCACATATTTACCGGGCATGCCACTCCATAAAATCTATAAATAGACCCCTCATTTATCTTGAAAGAGGACCCAAGCAAGAAGAGAAGGAAGAGAAGGAAGAAGCTCCTCCTCGACCACCGCCGGAGCCTCGTCAGACCACCACCTAAGGCCCTCACCCTCGCCGGACCACCGCCGGAGCCTCGCCGGACCACCTCCGGAACTTCGCCGGACCACCGCCAGAGGCCATCATCACCTTCGCCAGAGGCCCTCACATTCGCCAGAGACCCTCACCTTCGCCAAAAGGCCCTCTCCTTCGTCAGAGGCCCTCACATTCGCCAGAGGCTCTCACCTTCGTCAGAGGCTCTCACCTTCATTAGACCATCACCTGAGGCCTGAAGTTCCACGAGACCATCACCAGACACCCGGACTTCTATCGTACAGCTGTTATTTGTCATCTGATCACCCTCGGAGGGGAATCAGACCATTGTAACCAACTTATATTCTAGTAGAATCATTTTCAACTGAGCTAGACCTCGTGGTTTTTCCCCTTTCAAGGGTTTTCCACTTAAAAAATATTGTGTTCTCTGTGTGTGTGCTGGATACCCGTGCAAAGCTAAGACGTATAATTAAAACTCTATCGCCGCGTATATTCAGGCCCGCAACACTCCTTAAAATAATATTTTCTGTCAATCATAAAATAAATAAAATTCAATAATTTTAACACATTCCAATAACCATTTAATAAGGATATCTTTAATTAAAATTCTTCATAAATATCAATAAATCAATGAGAAAAAATTTCTTTCAAATTTCAAAAATAATATTAAAAAAAAAACCTATTTTCAATTGAGCATCTTACAAAACTTTAATATTTTTCATTCTTCTCTTAGTGTAAGAAAATAAATTAAGTTAAAACAATAACAGAGATGAATTCAAATAAAGCCAAAAAAATAATATATAATATAGTTTTCATATCATATTCTCTTTGAGTTATTAATTTTCTATCTTACTTAACATAAATTTTTAATTTAAAAAAAAAATTCGAGGATAAAACCATATTATAGGTTCAATAAAATCTAAAAAGTTGAAAACATAAGTCAAAATATTAGAGCAAAAATAAGTGGCTGATTAGGCTTCTGATAGCGCAAATATAAACCAATTATTAGGATAACAATAACAAAGATATTCATTTACAATCTGAGCAATTAAGGAAAAATTATTAGGTCAGGTGACCTGATGTAGCTCTACGTCCGGTAGTCAATAATATGTCGCCACGTGCTCTTACTCTTTACCGCGCAACTCGACGACCCGTCTCGCACCAGAATCCGGGATTATTATATATGTTCTCGTATTGCTTGGTATTGCTAGGTATTACTCAGTATTGCTAGGTATTGCTTGACAATAACGAGAAATACCGCTCTGTGAAGACCAATATCGAGCATTACCTAAAAGAACTCGGTATTACTCAGTATTACTCGGTATTGGTCGGTATTGGTCTTCACATAATGATATTTTTTTTGTTTTTGTCGAGCAAAATCGACCAATACCTAGCAATACCGATCAATACGCAAACTCCCGGGTCTGTTCCGGGTCGGTATGTCGGGCCGCGCGGTAAATAGTGAGAACAAGGCGTCTGTTTGCTGCTCACCGAATATAAAGCTACGTCAGGTTACCAGATCAAATAAAATTTCAGCAATTAAGACTATAGGAACATATCATCCCATAGAAATGGATGCGAACACCTTAATTCAACAAAACCAATAGCATCTTAATGGCGAAAACATCCTACTAAAAAAAAAAGAACAAAAAATCCATGTTCTTTATCATCTTCAATAACCATCACTTACCATTTGTAATCAAATGACGCACATTTAGGCCATAGGTAAAAAGATTTAGAATGACCAAGAGATAAATTATTACGTGGAGGCCTAACTGCGTGAGGACTTCAATCAGAATCGGCCCCGTCGTCTATACATTGTAAACAACTTCTGTACAAATTGGACATACTGTGTGTATGAGTTTGAAATTAGAATGATAAACATACAAATCTGCAAAAGAAGAATATTCATACAGACTCTTTATGCAGATTTCTTCTCAATGAAATAGATAAATAAATAGCAAAACCGTTTAGCTTATCATGTCACAACAAGGCAATCTGTTTCGAAATAAAAATCCTCAGATTTTTGGTTAAACCAGTCAAGTAAAGATCCATTATAAGCCCAAGTTCAAATGAGTTTCATTTCCACAAGGAATTCAAACTATTAACACCATATGCATATCTCAATACCAAATAACATATCATAAAAATAAAAATTAAAAAAAAAAAAAAAACATATCATAACTGAAACAAATCAACTTGAAGATTGCAGTAGACAACTAAAGAAAAACACAACCATGTAGCAACACCATAGAGAGTTCAAGAGGACAAACTTTTAAGATGCCAAACAAGTAACTGACATAGTTCATAGATTACTCCATGCACTAACGAAATCACAGTGCAACCAAGCCAAGCGATCGATCAACAGTCAATGCCCACCACCACGGAGACGGAGGACAAGGTGGAGGGTAGATTCCTTTTGAATATTGTAGTCTGCAAGAGTGCGGCCATCCTCAAGCTGTTTTCCAGCAAAGATAAGCCTCTGCTGATCTGGAGGAATGCCCTCTTTGTCCTGGATCTTTGCCTTCACGTTATCAATTGTATCGGAGCTCTCCACTTCCAAAGTGATGGTCTTTCCCGTAAGAGTCTTCACAAAAATCTGCATACCACCACGAAGACGGAGCACCAGGTGAAGGGTTGACTCTTTCTGAATGTTGTAGTCCGCGAGGGTGCGGCCATCCTCAAGCTGCTTGCCGGCAAAGATCAGCCTCTGCTGGTCTGGGGGAATGCCCTCCTTATCCTGTATTTTAGCCTTCACGTTATCAATCGTGTCGGAACTCTCAACCTCAAGGGTGATGGTCTTGCCGGTAAGGGTCTTAACAAAGATCTGCATCCCTCCCCTGAGACGAAGAACAAGGTGGAGTGTGGACTCCTTCTGGATGTTATAATCAGCAAGAGTACGCCCATCCTCGAGCTGCTTGCCAGCAAAGATCAGTCTCTGCTGGTCTGGGGGAATGCCCTCCTTATCCTGGATCTTCGCCTTCACGTTATCAATGGTGTCGGAACTCTCAACCTCAAGGGTGATCGTCTTCCCAGTGAGGGTTTTCACGAAGATCTGCATCTGGTAAAAAGGGATAAAACCTCAATAACATTAAAAGACTGGAACCCTAAAAGCACATAATAAAATCCACTGATCTCAATAGCGAGACTTTAGAAGACAAATTGCCATCAGATTATTCTCAAGAGGAGGGTCCATGAGCTTGAAGTGAACAGAGACAATAAAAAAGGAACAACATGAGGGGAAAAATTCCCACAACCAACCAATGGATGTCCTACAGACGGAATGGAATCCATTCAATCGATTGATGAGATGCAAAGTAAAGGAAAAAAAAACTAGATCAACACCGACGTCTGAACAATAATGGAGAAAACAGAACGAGAAGAATACCTTGTAGAGTAGTAGAGAACCTTTTCACTCTCGGAAGCAACGAAAGGCTGGGACGCGGATGAGAGGGGAGATTGGGCGTGGTTTTATAGCGGTCGAAGATTCGCTCCGATTAACAATACTTCTAGGTAAGGTTACCTCTAGGAGAAGTAGCTTAAACATGAAGCTCGGCCCGTAGACCGCTTAAAAGGTAATAATTTACGTTCGGTGGTATTCTAACGTGGCGTTTCGGGCGACGAGCTCCATTAGTCCCAGTCAAAGATGACGACGACGAAAGTTACCGCTATGGTAATTAATTATTAGTATTTACTTTAAATATTAAGTAAATTTCTAATAATTATTAGAAATACACGTAAATGTAAACGAAATAAATAATTTTATACATCACCAAAAATCGTCTATATTAGGCACGAATTTCGAGGCTGAATTAATTTAGAAACTTTTAAATTAGATTTGGAGTCATTAGAATTCTAATCTTAAAAAACTTATAGTTAAATTAAACATCACAATAAGAGGAACCTAACGACACTAAAATTAATCTAAACTGAGTCTAAATGAGTTCAAATCAAGAGCTCAAGTATTATTGAAAATTTCAAAGAATTAATGAGATGATCAAATAATCACTAAATTAGACATGCTTAATGTGAAAGCTGTTTTCCATTCAGGATCGTCCAGGATGAAGTTGGATCGTCCTGGGACGATTGGTATAGGTTTGTACAGGTTTTGGGGATAGAGAAGTTCATCCCAGAATGAAATGAGGTTCGTCCGTACGAAATTTGTCCAGATAGCAACTCGTCCATGAACGATAACTATTTCGTATGAACGAAATTCGTCCAGTGGGCAAATCGTCTCGGGACGATCTAGTTGGATATATATGGAAATGAGATCTTTTGAAGAGAGAGAAAAGGATAGGAGAGAGAAAACTGAAGGAAAAAGAAGAAAAATTGATTTTTGGGCTACTTCTATCATTTTCCGTCAGTAGCTGCAGTAGAGAAGTTGACCGACTCGAGATAAGGCACATTCCGCCTTTCTCAATTTTCATAAATAAGGATTTTGACGACTTTTCTGTTTTGAATTTTGATTCCGTTAGTGAAATTTTGGTATTATTTTGTACTGATAAAAGTTTTACAGCATAACTTTTGGTATGTTTATGAGATGATGTTTATGCACGTTTTGAGTATTTTCTGGAAGATTCTACCGGATATTTTAGATTCTGCGGCATTTTAATCGAACTATGAATTATCTAGATGTTGAAAAATGTTGCTTGAGTACAATAAAAGTCTTACAATGATGTTTTGTATTATCTATGGTAATTTGGTAAATTTCCGAATTTATGAGTTCTGTGCAAATTCTGTATACTGTCGTTATGTCGCTGACGATTTTTCTGGCGTAATCCAATTTTTTGATTTGAATGTTTTGACGTGCTGTGATATCATAAGAGAGTTATAAGGGGCCAGAATCCTTTGAGATTATGTCTGTCCGAAAAATCTGAAAAGAGAACAAGTTTTGTTCTGAAAATTATGTATATATGTTCTTTTCTAGTGCTATAAGCACAAAAGGAGGCATAAGGGGCCAGAATCCGTTGAGATTCTGTCTGTGTAAGGGAAGGGAGGCATAAGGGGCCAGAATCCGTTGAGATTCTAGCTGGGTCAGGGATATCTGATATCTGATTCTGATATGTGTTATGTATGTGATGTGATATCTAAAATGTGATTTTATCGTATTTGAATTCTGATTTGTACGATCCGATCCATTCTGTGATTTGAAAGTTTTATAAGTTTTATCAGATCTGTTCTGCACTCTGATTTAAATTCATATATATGTTATTTGATTTCTATTTGATCAAGTATCTGTTATGTCTGTTATATGATTTTTGTACGATTGTTTGAATTTATGTACGACTATTTGAATAACTATTTTTATGTGAATTTCTGGAGATTTTGATTGGTGAGTGTAGTCTTGCTGAGTTGTTAGCTCATCCTTGTTTTCTGAGAGGTTTTTAGGTTCTGGGAAAGAGAAAGAAGTCTTGGATTAGCCGTTCAGTGTCTGATTAGTGATTAGGTATTTTTGTACTTTTAATTTTGTACAGTCATGGCTTTTCTGTTCTGTTCTTTCTGTCTGTAGCCATGCACTGTATTGTACATGATTATTTTGATGAAAAGAAAAAAATGATAGATGAATTTTTGTATATATTGGAAGTTAATGCCAGCTTTGTGTTTATGTTTGTTTGAATATTTGGAAGAAAGTTCTGAAGCAAATTCCAAAACTAGATCCTGGATTTTCAACATTTGTCGCGGCCCGACGCAAAGGGATTCGTTCCGGTCGGGTTGGGTCGTGACACTTAAAGTCAAATTGAACTGCTCGACTAGACAGATACAACGAGCTCAATATCATTCAATTCCGACATCATTAAGGTACTTAAAATACTTAATAAACATTTTAAAATTTGACATCATTAATAATCTTAGGCTCGTTTTATTAATCTTGTCAAACCACTCAATTTGATTATAATATGAGAGATTTGAAAATTGTTTGATTCTTTAAATAATGTTCAAGACCTTCAAATATGTTTAAAGTGCTAAGGGGCTTGGTTGGAGGGAAAGTAAATGCAATGCATAATAAATTCTTTATATTTAAATTTGTTGTTGTTTGGTTTTCCAACGAAGTATAGTAAAGTAATTTCACGGTGTACTTAGAACTCTCGTGTTAGTTCATTTTTGACGTAAAGTAAATCCGCTCAAATTGAGAGGAAGGAATTCACGGGAAGTAGCTTCTTCGACTCCTTCATTCCTACGCAACATAACTTCTTAGGAGGCATCCAGTTTGATTTTCATCATATTTATTTCTCCGTTGTTGATCGACTTTATTGCTTGCGTGTTGAGGAGAAAGGAATTTCATTTTCATTCGACTTCACTCAAATTTGACAAAGCTAGATGTTGGTGCGGACAGTGTGAAGAATCTTCTCTCAAGAGCTGCACCTTCGCCCTTCGCCATTGGGACAACCGTCGTGCATTCCACTTCTCAATCTCCACCGAACGATTCTTCTGATTCACCCATCACCTCTAAGACCGCCTGGATGAGATGTTACTTTGCTCCGATGTATTCCTTTCTGCTTCTGAGCAACGTAATGTATGCCACTCCATGCATGTACTTGGAGCCAGAAGATGGTCAGAACACCTCGTGCTAGAACATGAAGCCACAAGGTGTGTATTTTATGTTTGTGAATAGACACATTAGGTGCTCGATTGAATGTCTCAGTCAAACGAACCTTTGAAAAAGGTTGAAATATTAGAACAAAAATAAGTGGCTGATTAGGCTTCTGATAGCACAAATATAAACCAATGATTAGGATAACAATAACAAGGATATTCATTTAGCATCAGAGCAATTAAGACTATAGGAATATATCATCCCATAGAAATGGCAATAGATATTAAATACATTAATAAAGAATGTGAACACCTTAATTCAATAATAACAATAGCATCTTAATGGTGAAAACATCCAACTAAAAAAAAAAACAAAAAATTCAAGTTCTTTATGATCTTCAATGACTATCACTAGATTAATTGTAGTCAAATGACTCACATTTAGGCCACAGGTAAAAGATTTACAAGGCCCAAGAACTGCACCGGAGAGAATCTGGACTCCAATCAGAATCAGCCACACAAATTGGACACAATGTGTGTAAGAGTTTGAAATTTGAATGTAAACATACAAACCTGGAAGAGAAGAATATTCATACAGACTCTTTATGCAGATTTCTTCTCAAAGAAATAGATAACTAAATAGCAAAAACGTTTAGCTTATCATGTCACAACAAGGCAAATTGTTTAGAAATAACAATCCTCAGATTTTTTGTTAAACCAGTCAAGTAAAGATCCATTATAAACCCAAGTTTAAATGAGTTTCATTCCCACAAGGAATTCAAACTATTAACACCAGATGCATATATCTCAATACCAAATAACATATCATAACTGAAACAAATCAACTTGAAGATTGCAGTAGACAACTAAAGAAAAGCACAACAATGCTGCAACACCATAAGAGTTCAAGAGGACAAACAAGTAACTGACATAGTTCATGGAATACTTCATGCAATAACGAAATCACAGTGCAAACAACCCAAGCGATCGATCAACAGTCAATGCCCACCACCACGGAGACGGAGGACAAGGTGGAGGGTAGATTCCTTTTGAATATTGTAGTCTGCAAGAGTGCGGCCATCCTCAAGCTGTTTTCCAGCAAAGATAAGCCTCTGCTGATCTGGAGGAATGCCCTCTTTGTCCTGGATCTTTGCCTTCACGTTATCAATTGTATCGGAGCTCTCCACTTCCAAAGTGATGGTCTTTCCCGTAAGAGTCTTCACAAAAATCTGCATACCACCACGAAGACGGAGTACCAGGTGAAGGGTTGACTCTTTCTGAATGTTGTAGTCAGCGAGGGTGCGGCCATCCTCAAGCTGCTTGCCGGCAAAGATCAGCCTCTGCTGGTCTGGGGGAATGCCCTCCTTATCCTGTATTTTAGCCTTCACGTTGTCAATTGTGTCAGAGCTCTCTACCTCAAGGGTGATGGTCTTGCCGGTGAGGGTCTTAACAAAGATCTGCATCCCTCCCCTGAGACGAAGAACAAGGTGGAGTGTGGACTCCTTCTGGATGTTATAATCAGCAAGAGTACGCCCATCCTCGAGCTGCTTGCCAGCAAAGATCAGTCTCTGCTGGTCTGGGGGAATGCCCTCCTTATCCTGGATCTTCGCCTTCACGTTATCAATGGTGTCGGAACTCTCAACCTCAAGGGTGATCGTCTTCCCAGTGAGGGTTTTCACGAAGATCTGCATCTGGTAAAAAGGGATAAAACCTCAATAACATTAAAAGACTGGAACCCTAAAAGCACATAATAAAATCCACTGATCTCAATAGCGAGACTTTAGAAGACAAATTGCCATCAGATTATTCTCAAGAGGAGGGTCCATGAGCTTGAAGTGAACAGAGACAATAAAAAAGGAACAACATGAGGGGAAAAATTCCCACAACCAACCAATGGATGTCCTACTGACGGAATCGAATCCATTCAATCGATTGATGAGATGCAAAGTAAAGGAAAAAAAAACTAGATCAACACCGACGTCTGAACAATAATGGAGAAAACAGAACTAGAAGAATACCTTGTAGAGTAGTACAGAACCTTTTCACTCTCGGAAGCAACGAAAGGCTGGGATACGGATGAGAGGGGAGATTGGGCGTGGTTTTATAGCGGTCGAAGATTCGCTCCGATTAACAATACTTCTAGGTAAGGTTACCTCTAGGAGAAGTAGCTTAAATATGAAGCTCGGCCCGTAGACCGCTTAAAAGGTAATAATTTACGTTCGGTGGTAATCTAACGTGGCGTTTCGGGCGACGAGCTCCATTAGTCCCAGTCAAAGATGACGCGACGAAAGTTACCGCTATGGTAATCAATTATTAGTATTTACTTTAAATATTAAGTAAATTTCTAATAATTATTAGAAATACACGTAAATGTAAACGAAATAAATAATTTTATACATCACCAAAAATCGTCTATATTAGGCACGAATTTCGAGGCTGAATTAATTTAGAAACTTTTAAATTAGATTTGGAGTCATTAGAATTCTAATCTTAAAAAACTTATAATTAAATTAAACATCACAATAAGAGGAACCTAACGACACTAAAATTAATCTAAATTGAGTCTAAATGAGTTCAAATCAAGAGCTCAAGTATATTGAAAGTTTCAGATAATTAATGAGATGATCAAATAATCACTAAATTATACATGCTTAAAGTCAAATTGAACTGCTTGACTAGACAGATACAACAAGCTCAATATCACTCAATTACGGCATCATTACGGTACTTAAATACTTAATAAACATTTTAAAATTTGACATCATTAATAATCTTAGGCTTGTTTTATTAATCTTGTCAAACCACTCAATTTGATTATAATAGGAGAGATTTGAAACTTGTTTGATTCTTTAAATAATGTTCAAAGTCTTCAAATATGTTTAAAGTGCTAAGGGGCTTGGTTGGAGGGAAAGTAAATGCAATACATAATAATTTTTTTTTTTTTTAATTTTTGGTGTTTGGTTGTCCAACAAAGTATAGTAAAGTAATTTCACGATGTACTTAGAACTCTCGTGTTAGTTCATTTTTGGCGTAAAGTAAATCCGCTCAAATTGAGAGCAAGGAATTCATGGGAAGTAGCTTCTTCGACTCCTTCGTTCCTACGCAACATAACTTCTTAGAAGGCATCCAGAGTTTGATTTTCATCATATTTATTTCTCCGTTGTTGTTCGACTTTATTGCTTGCGTGTTGAGGAGAAAGGAATTTCATTTTCATTCGACTTCACTCAAATTCGACAAAGCTAGATGTTGGTACGGACAGTGTGAAGAATCTTCTCTCAAGAGCTGCACCTTCGCCCTTCGCCATTGGGACAACCGTCGTGCATTCCACTTCTCAATCTCCACCGAACGATTCTTCTGATTCACCCATCACCTCTAAGACCGCCTGGATGAGATGTTACTTTGCTCTGATGTATTCCTTTCCGCTTCTGAGCAACGTAATGTATGCCACTCCATGCATGAACTTGGAGCCGAAAGATGGTTAGAACACCTCGTGCTGGAACATGAAGCCTCAAGGTGTGTATTTTATGTTTGTGAATAGACACATTAGGTGCTCGATTGAATGTCTCAGTCAAACGAACCTTTGATTTTACTTTTTTCTACATACACTCAACCAAATAGAAAAAAATAATTTCACTGCATTGACTTTATAGACAATCAAACAGTCTCATGTATTTACTTTACACTGCATTCAATTTACATTACATTCATTTTATAGCCAACCATATAGCCCCTTAATATTTTTTCATTTGGATTGAAATCAATTAACTAATGGTATCAATGAATTCATATCATAAAATCATTCTATGCTACTATAAACTTGTGGAAATCTAAGTCCAAATGATCATAAATTTAATTCTACAACTTTTTAATTCAAATATAACCTCCATATTCATAATAAGCAAATAATTTTTCTAAAAATACATCAAGTCTAATTTGTGGCAATGTGTCTGCACACATTTTATTAACGTTAGGCCACAACTCTAACATAAATATTATAATCAAATTTTATTGTTAAAAAAGCATAAATTTTATTCACAAATATGAATATATATATTATTGTAAATACTAAATATAGTAAGCATCCTCTTATTGAGGATAATAAATGTCAACATTATTAGCAAATGAACATTTTAGTATACAAGCATTAAGGGTTCATCAATGCTTCACAAGGGACCTATTACTTTTTCATCGAATTTGCATGTTACAATCAATGCTTCACAAGGAGCCTATTAACCTACCCTTTCTCGTGCAATTAGGTCTTTGGAGTTTAAATTAAATTAGGTAGGTTTGGCAAGAAAGGGCCCCACCTTGCCAATTTTTTATATGTAGACCTTATTCGTCTGCAAAGATTCAAAGGCAGAAATATTTCCAGATCAATCTATTCCCCCTTTTTTTAAGGGTTTAGGATACATTTTAGTACAAGGGTTTAGACCTTATTCGTCTGCAAATATTCAAAGGCAGAAATATCATTTTTAGAGTTTGCTAGGTATTGGTCGATTTTGCTCGACAAAAAGAAAAATATCATTCTGTGAAGAGCAATACCAAACAATAACGAGCAGTACCGAGCAATACCGAGTTCTTTTAGGTATTGCTCCGTATTAATCTTCACAAAACGGTATTTCTCATTATTGCCAAACAATACCGAGTAATACCTATCAATACCGAGCAAATACTAAGCAATACACGAACATAGTAATCTCGGATTCGGTTCGAGTCGAGTCATCAAGCCGCACGGTAAAGAGTAAGAGCACGCGACAACAAATTATTGACTATCTGACGTAGAGCTACATCAGGTAACCTAACGGAATAAAAATTCCCCAAAGGGAGCCCCAAACAACAAATCATAACATTAATTTCAGACCACAAAAGTTCATAATACATCACATATCACTTCAGGAAGAGTAGGCTTCGTTTGGTACTGCTTTCTAAAATAATTTTCTAATAAAAATTTTTTAATAAAAAAACTGCTTTAAAAACCGTTAAAAAAATTACTCCAAACAAAACCTTAGCCTTCGATGGCAAAATTTCATTTTAAAGTTACATATTTCGATAGTTGAATAGAATAAACTAGACATCCGTCGCGTCCGTCTGTCCGTGTTGCGTCGCATCCGTAAATCCAAGTGCGGCGAAGCCGTGCTTCTCCTTCTACTGATCCTCTTCTTCTGTGCTCTTGCCACATCAATCTTCCTGTTGGCTTCGCATCGCGTCAGTTAGTGTGCAGCTTCGTTCGCGCGCTTCCGCTCTCGCGTTTGCCGTCCGACCCGCTTTGTCCGCGCGCTTCTACCCATTTTGTATTGGGTAAGGTCAACTCAGAAACCCGACGCATCGGATCCAAGTTGATCAAATCGACCCGTTTGCAAAAATGGGTCAATTTTGTGTTATATTAAATAAGGTCGGGTCAGTTCCGGGTACGACTCGAACCCGACCCACAACCCCGATTTAGACACCCCTAAGTACAACTGACCATATAAAAAACAACCAAACTAATTAAAAATCTATGCGGACTACCACAACATCAACCTAGAAAAAAAAAAAAAAAAACTAAAATCCCATTGAGTTGCATTCCCAATTTAAATACAAAAAGGCGGACCGAACAAAGAGACGGGGCCAGCAAATGCTGCTAAAATATTGGGGCCAGCGCATGCAGGGGAAGGAAAAAAGAGGATGCTTTGATCAACTTTCTTCACCCGAAAAGCAACAGCAATTAAATCCTACAAATATGGTCGCTCGAGATTCTTAATGGTGCACATATTAAAAAAGGCTTAGCATAATAATTATATTCTGGAGCTCAATCAATATACAGTTTTACTAATTACCAATACAAGTCAGTATTCCATTATTTTAAGCCTCAATACATTTCAATTTTTCCTTTGGGCTCTAGCTGCGTCTAGATATTTGGGAGAGATAGATCGTCCTCTCGAATAAAGGATCAAGGGTATCTTGCTATTTTCGTTTCGCTTTCCTCAAGTAATACAAATTATCTACTGTTTTTTGTGATTTTGTGCGGATTTTTGTGAAGAATTCTCCCTGCTTTTAGAAGTTGATAGGAAATACACGCGATCTACAAATACTTCCCATCAATATCATAATAAAAATAGAAAAATAGCAATCATCATCATCATCCAAAGCTTTATGAATCTCCATGTTGTATTTGTTCCTAATTACAGACATCAAAAGAGCTAACACATAATTTAGAACAACTCATATTAATGTAATCTTAAGTCTAACCCTTCTCCTTTTATATCCTGTAGCACTAATTTTATTCACTCATCTAATGGGTGCATTTATCAACCCTTCATTATACATGACAAAAAAATCAAGTCTATTTCCTATTCCCTTCCCTTCAATAGGCAAAACCAAACATTCATCTAATAGAATTGTTTCCTTAGTTATCTTTGTGTTCTATTTTTCTAGACATCCAATTACCATTCTCATTTTTGCCATTTAACTAGCAATATTTTTTCATAGCCACAAAAAATATAGACACAAATTGATCATTAATATAAACTTATTATAATTTAACTTTTAGGTTACCCAACAACTACTAATATAAATCATTGATCCTTTATATATGCCCTTATTAAGTTGACATAATTTTTTAAACAAATAAAACATCACTATCTCTCATAGCTTTATCATATGGTTCATAAATTTGATTCCCCTATAAATAGCACAAACTTTAACATCAAAT